ATGACATAGAGGAGGAGCTGAGAACTACAGATTCTCTTCCCCTGTGTACTTCTGGAGTAGAGTCTACCAGCTAGAGCACAAGATTGAGAAAGCAGAAAAATGGAAAGACCATTATATTCCAGAAGACAAATGCAAACAGAAGCAAGGGCAGGCAGCCAATATATTTGAAGCAATTTCTGAGTGCATTTCTTGAGAAGTACTTAAGTATTGCAGAGGAAACTGGTAGGAGCTTCCCAGAGGTTCTTGTTATTTGCTGTAGCTTTTGGACAACGTAGAGACAGTTGTTTTACTGCTAAATGAGGGGAGAGTTGGTGAAAGATTCCCCAACATTTGCTCCCCCTGCTCTTCCAACAAACAGGTATAGACCTCAAATTACCTGTATTAAATTTTTACTTAGATTATAGAATGTCACTGCTGTTTTCCTGATAGGCCCTTAACTGATACATTATAACATATTAATTTTTAATTCTGAAAATATATCTAAAATCTTCAGCCCAGAGGACTGTTCAATGTAGCACAATAAAGAATACATAGAATATAGAATGGTAGAAAAATTGGAGCTAGGCATTAAAGTCATTGTTGACATTCAGGTAGTAATTCTGAATCTGAAATTATTTTACAAACGATATTTTCAGTATGAAATATCGTAGGTGAAAAAAAATTAACTTGAGAAGGAAGATGAAAAAAAGAGGAGGTATAATCCTTCTTACTTTCAGGCAGTTTCTGAAAAGTTCTCAGACTGAATCTCTTCTGTAGTCAAAATGAAGCTCCTACTATCTTTCTGAGTTTTCATATATGATTTTTGAACCTATGGTTTTCATCACTATCATAGTTACACTGAAAAAAAGTACATCATAAATCGGGGGGGGGACCCTAATCATGTACTTACATTTGTATACATATTTCTTGTAGTCATCTATTAAAAGGTGTGTTATCAAGGAAATTCCTACAACAATTTGACATTTTTATATGTCAGAAACATTCACTGTATTATGGAGAAATACCTTTTCTCTAGCTGTTTCCATATGCAGATCCCGGATTGGCTTTTTCTCTCCAGACATTTTCTCCTGGTTTTTATTCATTTATTTATTATTTTAACTGAAGATTACATCATGGGTCTCCTGGGCATCTGCAATAGGAAGAAAGAAGAGGGCAAAGAAAAAGAATGAGATTTTGGAATTATCAAATGTCAATGAAAATGAAACAGTATTTATATAACAACAAAAATCAAATAATCAACTAGTATCCTGACCCCTACATATCTTTCAAAATTTATTTATTAATTTCCATTTTTACTCTTGAAATGGTCATGAATAAAAACTTTTAAAGAGGGACATTATTCCTGTTGACTTTTCTTAAAAATTCATAAAAATATATTGATAGTGTTGCTTCTTGACTACTATAATATTTTCTTTCTATTTATTTGCTAGTAAATGCTTGGATTCTAAATTTTAGGGTAATGATAAGGCTGAGATTTGGCATTCCATAAGTATATAGTTAGTCACAATGGTAACAGTATCATAAAACATTTAAAATTGAGCATTTAGGGCCTCACTGGTGGCCCAAGGGGTTAAGCACCACACTATGAAGCAATCCACAGCCTCTGCAGCATGAGTTCAATCCCTGGCTGGCGAGGGAGCAACCTACATGGTGCAGCAGACCTCTCCTGCCTAGCCCACTGCTCCCCTCAGCAGTATACTTCAGTCAGTCTGCCTGTTCTGTTCCCCACTCTCTCTGGTGAATCCTCTCACCCCCTACACCTCTGGCCTGTACCCCAGCTCTTGTATGCATAAATAAATAAATCTTAAAAAAAATAAAATTGAGCATTTAATTTTTTAATTAAGAAGATAAACTTGTTTTCGTAATGGTCAGCACATGGTACAAACACATTTAGTACTATTTACCCTCCATCTTGCATAATGTTGCTATAAGAAAATAGTTTTCAAATATAAATAAATGGAATAAACAACACATCATAGTGTCATAGTGATGGAAGTAGAATAATATAAAGCAAAGATGGAAACAGATTACAAGGTCATTTCCAACACTTCACAAAAGAAATTACTATGCCCTGTTACTAAAAAATGCCTTGGTGTCTTCCCACCAGGGCCCTCAACACAACATTAGGCTTTTCATTGTATTAAGTTTGGAACATACAGAAGAGTACAAAGAATGTATAATTATAGGGTTTCATTGTCTAATAATTTTATCACACAGAGATAACCTCATTAACATTTTAATTTATATCCTCCTGGGGGGTGTGTGTGTGTAAAATTCTTTTTGTATACTTAAGATTTATATGCTGTTTTGGTACTTGTTTTTGTCATTATATATATATTTATATTTTCCTTCATTATCAAATAGTCTTCTAAAATATGAAGTGTGAGAGGGTAGGGAAGATCAACAAAATCATGTGAACAATAATTAGACGCATGGTCTTTAAATATTAATATAGCTCTATAAAAGTTAACATGCAAAAGTGATAGTGGGCTAATTTATATATATATATATCATTTCCTTATTAACATATACTTGTTAAAGGTGTTTTTTTAATTGAGGTAAGACTGATTTATCACATTATATACAGATTTTAGGTATATACTTATATACCAGCATTTATATATATTCATTTATGCTCATTACCAGTCTAGTTTCCATACATCACCACACAATTTGCCACCCCAACACTCCTTCCCAACTTACAACTTTCAAGTCACAAAAATTACATTTTTCTTTGCTACTACTTAACGAAATTCTCTAACAAATCTACTTCCCCCAATAGTTTATTCTTCTAGTCACATGATTTTAAATGACTAAATAATACGTCACCATACAGAATTACTATAATTTAATCAATACCCTAGCATTGGGCATTTAAACCACTTACAATATTTCATTATTATAAATACATGCATTTTGCAGAGCCCTGAACATAAATCTTTGATTCAACAGAATCATGCTAAATGATGCTACTCTTATATACATGAGAGTCTCATGAATTTCAATTCTTAGCTTTGAAACCCAGTTTCCTTTATCTGCATATTTAGGGGATTGGATCAGAAATCTAATCGGCTCCAATTCTAAAGTACCCAAGTTCTACACATAGAACCTTATCGAAGGATCAATTTGTGAACTCCTAGTAGAAATGAGACATATAATTCATAACTTTCAAAAAAGTATAATGAGGATATTTGTTTATGTGGAGTGGGCATACACAGAATCATAAAAAGAAATTAACTTTGTAAACTATCAATTTTACATAAAGATTTGGGGACCAGGTTTTTTTTTTCCTGTTAAATACAAAAAAAATGCACATTAATAGCTAAGATAAAAAGTCTTTAAATTTTTTTTTTTTGTATTTCTGAGGATGCTGCTTCCACATCTGCTTCCAGAGTCAAGTTTTCTCACTTTTTTTAAAAAAAGATTTATTTATTATACAAGAACCAGGGTACAGACCAGATTCCCAGGAGGGTGAGAGGATTCACCAGAGACAGAGCGGGGAACAGAACCGGGAGAATGACGAAATACACTGCTGAGGGGAGCAGTGGGCGAGAGAGGAGAGGTCTGCCCACCATGTGGGACCCTTGCCAGCCGGCTGGGATCGAACTGGCGCTGCAGAGGCTGCAGAGGCTGCAGACAGCTTCACAGCGCGGCGTGCAACCGCCTGCGCCACCAAGGGAGGCCCCAAGTTTTCTCACTTTTACTAGGAAAGGACCCAAGGTTCTGATTAATTGAAAAGAAGAATACTTATGTATTAACTCAAATCTCTTGAAAACTGCTATCACATCTTTAAAGTAGGATATTTGAAGTTATCCAAGGCTTTGGGATCTAACACATGTTCGTTTTAACTTTGCTGCCTTTTTCAAACTTCTCAAGAATTAAGGTTTGTTCATTTTACTAATTCACCATCTTCACCCTATCCCACTTTGGTTTTCTACAATTTTGTGAAAATTTTAGCTCGTTTCTTTTAAAACCAATGTGCCTCAGTCCATATGGCAGGTCTACCACCTAATGGATGGTTTTTATTTTCACAAACATCAACCCTTCTTCAAGTGCTTCACATATATTCGTAATAATGAGATTTTTTTTTTCTTTAAAGTCTTTAAAAGATACCGATTTTAAGGATTAGTTTAAAAAAAAAAAAAGCACTGAATCAGATGGCCAGATTTTTCTGTCACAGAAAGTCAACGAAATCTGATACATGAAAATATGAATTACACAAAATTTCAAAATTCAAATGGACTATAAAGTCTGCTTCTCCTAAGAAAGTACTAGCAGCAAGAGAGCTATTAAGAGCAAACTCAATCAGGGCTTCGGTCTTTTAACTCAAAAACTGACCCAAAACGTTCGAAGTTCGTGCAAAAGGGACTAAGTACACTTGAAGCAGAAAATCTGGAAAATATTTCTGTACATCTGCTTTCTTTCTCTCATGCATGAAGCTTTGAAATTGATTGAAAACGGCTGCCCAGAGGCTGAAATAGGCACCCCGCGATTCAATAAAGACTCATTCTAGGGCATCCTCATCCCTCCCGCTGGGTAAATAAAGCGAACAAACTCTCCAAAAGCCCAAGGACTAACTGCTCAAACGGGCCTGCACGCGCAGACTTCGGCACCATCGAACTCCAGAACCGAGTTCGAGAACGGGGTGGGAGGGGGGGTGGGCTGGAGGGCTCAGGCGGTCTCTGGCGCTGAGGGGACTGACTCGAGGCCCCCTTCCTTCCCGGCCAGAAATTAAAATATGTGGGACAGCGACCTGCGGTAAATTCGCAACAGGCTTCTGCAACATGTCGGACGCACAAAAACTCGCCGACGGCCACTCGCAGAAGAAACCCAGCGCCCAACAGGCCGCCGGGGTCCGGCGGGCCCCACGCCCGGCCGTCGGGGGCTGACCCGGAAGTGCTCGGCGGCGGCGGCGGGGGCGGGGGCAGGGGCGCGGCCAATCGGCGTCCGCGCGCGCTCCCCGCGGACCGCCCACTGGCAGCTCCGCGCTCTCCCGGAGGCGCGCCCGAGCCGCCGCGGCCGCCGCCAACATGGCCGAGACGAGCGAGGAGGTGGCGGTGCTGGTGCAGCGGGTGGTGAAGGACATCACCAACGCCTTCAGGAGGAATCCGCATATGTGAGTCGCGCACGCCGGCGGCTCCCCCGCCTCTGCAGCCGCCGGGGGTCGCCGGGGCGGGCGGGGGCGGGGCCAGCCTGGAGCGGACCTCGGGCGGGCGCTGGCCGGCGAGCCCCGGGTTGCACCGGGCGAGGTCGGCGCCGGCCCGCCGCCCGCTGCCTTGGGGCCCGCTTTCTGCTGCTGGGACGCGCTCCGGGCCCATGCCTAGAAGTGACCGCAGAAAATCAAGCGGAGCTACTTTGTTTCGCTCTCATTCCCACCCCTTCCCTAAGAGTTCACGAAAGTCGGGAGACTTCATCCCGGTGGAGACGCCTCTTAAGTCCCCTTAGCTGCCAGGGCTCACCCTGGGGTCTGGGTAGGCTTTGGACACACTACTCTTAAGATTCATCCCGGGATATGGTGAGAGAGGGTTTACGGATCATTTGATCCTTCACGAGCCCAAAACCCCTAGTTTGCTAACCGAAGGTAGTTTGAGGCTGCTGTCGATATTCCCCTCATTTGCCCTAGATCGTGGAGGGACTCTGATAAAACATACTGTTTTGAAGGTGAACGGAGACTTCTCAAGATCGTGGCTTCTGTAGGTTTTGGATGGGTCTGGTGTAAAGTGGGTGAAGCCTCCACACTTTATCATTAGCTGATTCATAGTTACAGGGAGCATGTTAACTCTTTTTTATCCAAACACTGCTGCCCTCTTTAAGTAGGACACTACAGGATTGACACACATATCACACCTCCTTTTTCATTTTGCTTGGAGTACTCTGGGAAGACAACCCGAAGAAATTGTATTCTTTCTGACACGCTTTTATGTAACAAGTGAAAAGGAAGCTATTAAAGGAGAGATGTACATTGCACAAAAGAGTAAGGAAGAAATAATATTGTAGCTCTTTTCCCCATTTCCCCCACCCCTTCCCACTCTCCCTCACCAATAAAGTAACATTGAATCTAATTGTGCATTATTTTCACTTGAATTGCTTGTGGGGTTTTATTTAGTATTTTATTTAAGTTGGAACACATGAATTACTATTTTTAAGCATTCTAAAACCTTAAGCTTTTCTGCCTAAAAGTGCCAAACCTATGTCTAAATGAAGTTTTCTTTTTCTTCAAGGCAATGCTTATAAAAGAATTAAGAAGTCCTCAGATGGCTCACTCCCTTGTGGCACTCAATCTGAGAGCTGCAACTGTGCCTCATTAAAAACAAAATACTGCTGGCCTCAAAACACACCTGCCACCTCTGACAGCATCCACTTCCTTTTCCCTTGTGACTGCTGTCTTTTCAAAATGAGAGTGTTTGGAATGATTTCCTGGCAGTAACCATAGTGGGTACTGGACCTTCTAAAGAATGCTTTGATGCCTTGTTGTGTATCAGTCTTTGAAACCCTTGTTGAGAATGAGAGCTTTAGTGCAATTAAGAGAAATCCTCAAAGTTGGACAAATGAAGGGCCTTTTTTCTCATTACTGGTGGGTTTTTTCTTGAGGAAATTATGGTGGAAATTAGAAGTCTCATAAGTATGTTGGTCATCTTAGTGATTGAGGTAGACCAGAAAAGGATTAGTATTTTGTAGTTGAAGAAACTGAGATAGAGTGTTTGATGACTTGGCAGGCTGACACAGTGCAGCTTGGAACATGTCCCGTTTCCTCTGGATCACATTTATTGAAACCCATAAAGGACTTTAAATCTCCCCTCCCAATCATGTTTGTGGTGAAATCTTATTAATATGCCCTATCAATGCATAATTTATAATTATTAACAAGCATTTGGGTCTTGTGGAATTTAATAATTTGAAATAATATATAAATCTAAAAATATAAATGCCTTAGTGCATTGTTTAATACTAGTCTTCAGCTATATTTTAGTATGCCCGACAACCTTAAATGGCATTGCTATGCATGTTTTTAAACATGCTATAATTTGGACTTTTCAAAATTGCCTGTAATTCTTTCCTTATCCTGGCCCTTTAACCGCCAAAATAAAGAGGCTATGTAATTCTGGCTAAAAGGAAAAAGACATTGCTTGTCTTCATAGTACTTAATTGCAATTTTCAGTAATACAATTTTTTCTTCTTTTTTTTTTTTTGTTTTTGTTTTCCTTTCTTCCTCCAAGCACAAGACTGTAATTTTATTAGCCAACACCTACTCATTAATATATTGACTTTGTACAAATACCTGGCGAAGAGTAGTCAAAGATGCAGTGGATTTTGTTTTGTTTTAGGATCTTGTTATTTGTTGGTGGGGATGGGTTACCTTCCCTCAGCCTCAATTTCCTCTTGATCCCTTGTGAAGCTGATGAGAACAAAGGAAAATCACTTTAGGCAGTGCCTGCTACTTAGTTGCTTCTAGACAAACAGTAGACTTAGCCTGAATACCTGTGTCCCTTAGAAAATATATTGGCCAACTGAATGATGACTGTGCAGCTCTTTATAAATTGAAAAATACCATACAAATGTTGTTTGTGTGATTGACTGCTAGAGAATATTATTGGAAAAACAAATGAAGCTTGATTCAGAGATGGACACAGCTTAAGGCATAAACCCTGTGCTAATGTGAAGACAACTGTTTACAATGTAATTAGTATCATGTCAAAGGTCTCATCCCAGCAAGTTATTTTTTTTACCACTCTATTAAATATTGAGCTATCACTATTCATGAGGTGCTGTAGGGTACTATATTTAGAGTATGGAATAGGAAGTATGGAATATAGTTCTTATATTCAAGGCACTTGCAGAAATATCTGTGATGATGGAAATGTTTTAAATCTGTCCAGTCTAATATAGCAGTACTAGCCATTTGTAGTTACTCTTACATGCTTGAAATGTGATTAATGCCAATGAGGAACTGAACTATAACTTTGATTTAATTTTAATTAATTTATGTATAATAGCCACATGTGCCTAGTGACTGCTGTGTTGCACAGTACAAAAGTAGATGGAGACCTGAGTCCTACATATATGAATGGTACATTAACTTTCCAAAGCAGTTTATGATAAAGGTTAGACCAGCAGTAAATAAACAACTGTTCTTCGAGTCTATTAGAAATTAAAGGAAGCTGGGCATGTCTTGGCCAGGGCTGCTATGGGATGTGGGTTTTTGAACTAAACTTTGAAGGTGAGATACGGTTTGCAGTCTGGAAAGTGTGTCAAGGACCTCAATAGAGAGCATAAAATGACCAAATGCAACAAAATATAATTGAAAAAGGTAAAATATAGCACTGGGTTATGAGAGTCCTTGACTGTTTAACTTAATTCATTCCATGCATACATTCAGTGAAAGAACATACCTATTTGACAAATGCTAGCTTCTGGGCATGTAGGGTTAGATGTAGCATGTAAATTGATGAACATACAAGCATGGTGCCTGCCCTGATGAAACTTTAAATACATCAACACTCCAGTTATGAAAAGAGCCCCAAAGGATAAGAAGAGTACTTTGAAAAATTTGTAACATAGAGGCCTAATTTAGCTTAGAGGGTCAAGATAGAGTTGGTCAATAAAAAGATACTTGTTAGGCAGTGATAAGGCCCCAATGAAAATTCTTGAATAAGAGAATAGTAATGAAAGATGATTGTAAATTATCTGCAAATTGGACTGAAGAATAGGAAACCACAGTCTTGATATACTTGATTATTATTTATTTAAACACTTGTGTAGTTGAATAAGTTTGGCATTGAGTCTGACAGTCCTACATTTGACTTTTGGCTTGTCATTTAGGCAAGACTCTGTTCATCCATAAATAAAATTTTGCTGTATAACAGTGTGCAGAAGAAATGAAACAGTGTACATTAAAACTAGCAGCATCACTAGTAAGTAATAGTGATTTCTGTAGCTGTTTTCTAAATAAGGTCAGTAATAGAATTTCAGTAAAACCTAGTAATCTTTGAATTGGGAAGAACCTGTGGGCTCTGAGATACTTTAATCATCAGTAAAGTTTTAATTTTCAATGTGCAAAACCTGGTCAGTGGTCCTATTTTACTTCACTAATGATGTTTCTGAAAAGTGCATACACATATATGCCTGACTGTGTCTAAACATGACAAAGTCAATAGCAGTGTTGTGTGAACCTTAACCATCATCTGAAGTCCATGGATCCTCAGTTCAAAGCAAAGCAGTCAGCGGGATGTACCATGCTGTGTGTGATCTTAAGTAAATGTGTTGGTTCATTTTATGTTGCTATTCTATTGGCTCAGTCTTCAAAGGTAACCTAAAAAAATCGAGCATCGTTATCCCTTTGAAAAGATTAGAACTTGATCTAATCTTCATGTCTTTAAAAATCGTATGACCTTGGTAATGCAGATATTTACTGTAGTGTCCTTGTTAAAATCCAGGAACTTAATCTGCCAAAAACCTAAAAATACAATGTAATTTGTTGGCATTAATTTCTATTGCTCTTACAAGATTATTTAATAAGGAAATAATGGAGGTATAGTTGCACCTTCAACTGCAATCATTAAAAATGTAAAAAGTATGGTCTCCCTGGTGGTGCAGGGATTACAGTCTTAGTGCTGTCAGGCTGAGATGCCAGCCACTGCAGCATGTGTTTGATCCCCAGCCAGGATCGAACCCACACTGTGCAGCAGACCTCTCCTGTCTCGCGCGCTGTTCCCCTCAGCAGTGTATTTCAGGTAGATCTGCCTGTTCTGCTCCCTACTCTGTCTCTGGTGAATCCTCACACACCCCTTCCCCCACGCCTCTAGCCTACACCTCAGTTCTTGTATGCATAAGTAAATAAAATAAACTTTTAAAAATTGTATGAAGTATGTAGGAAAAGTTTTAATGTGAATTTATAAAAGAATTACAGAAAAATATGTCTAGTATAATCCCACTTTTGCAAAATACTTTCTTAAAAGGGATTCATACACAGATTAATAGTGGTAGGGAGATGATAAATGATTTTTAGTTGGTCTTTTTTCCTCAGCTTTCCAACTTTTCTTGAATAAGAAATTGAAATTTGAATAGCCAGATGTCTAGAAGGAATTTATCTAAGTTGTGCTTGCTTTTGTTGATATCTTGATCTTCACTTTCCTTTCAAGGGTTTTGGGCTAAGTATTAAAGGTCCAGATTTAAGTTATTCGCTAGCAATATGAACCTAGGTTAATTTTCTTAACCGCAGCAGACCTCACTCATTCTGATAAAACAAGAGACCGGAGGAATGAGGTCTCTTCTGATTTTAAAATGATTTTGGAATCCTGTTCTAAATTGGAAAAAGTGTATTATGACCTGAGGGACTAGGCATAGATGCCTGAAGTCAAACACACTATTATTTGAAAGCTTACTGACCTACCTATCTTTATGAAGTGCATGTTATATTTTTAGGAAGCAGCAAAGCAGTATCATAGGGTCAGATAACTTAACAAAAATTTGGCTTTTGTTGCCTTGACCTTCCATTATCTGTCAGCCAGGACATTTTCTGGTTGAACTTAGGCTCTTAACGAAATTAATAATATACTTCATATTAGCCTGGCACTTTATATTTTACCATGTTCTCTGTGTTGTATCATCTGCTTTTCATAACAGGCAGGGAAGGCATTATTTATTGTTCCTGTATTTCAGATGATGGCAAGTGACTCGTCAGATTCACATTGGTAGAACTGAGACTGGCTAAAACCCTGAACCTTGGAAGATTGAATAATATTGTTTCTACATCCTGTTTCTTTTTTCTCCTAGTGCTTTACATTCTATGAAATGACTGTTTTCCATTTTCCCTACATGCAAATAGCTGCCAGGCTTCTCAATCACAAAATTTGAAAGCTAGATGAGACCTAGCAGTTTATTTTCTCTTATTTAGAGATACAGTTTATTTCTACCATTTTGCAGATGAGAAAATTGAGGTCTATAAAATCCAAGTGTCATGTTGACAGAACTAGGGCACTAAAAGGAAATTAAAAGTAATGTTCTTTGAACACTTTATTTGATCATTGTCACGGAAACGCAAGGATTATCATTTTTTCGTAGTTATTGATCACCTGCTATGTCCAAGGCATCTTGTGTTACTATTTCTTAGAAGAATGGTAGCCAAATAAAATGTGTGTGTGTATGTATGTGTGTGTGTGCACAGATGACTCCTCTTTTTCATTGTTGTTTTTAGATATGGCAATTTATTATCTCAGAGAGACAGAATTGAGAGAGCTGGTTACAGAGCCAAGTCCCCCACACCCCAAGATCACAGATTGTATCCTTCCCTTGATGGTGATTATGGGGCATCCCATAATGGGACTTCTCAGCTTAGGAAGGTACACAAAAGTAAGCACATGCTTCTCATATCAATGACTGTAAAATAGATGCCAGAAAAGTAGTTGAGCATTTTATTTTTGATAATAGTGAACAGGGCAGATTTTTACATTGTGAATTTAATTTAATTTAATTTTTTAAATTTGTTTTTGTTTTTTTAAGATTTATTTATTTATGCAGGCACTGGGTACAGTCAGAAGCGCAGGAGGGTGAGAGAATTCACGAGAGCAAAGTACACTGCTGAGGGGAGCAGTGGGCGCGGCAGGAGAGGTCTGCGTGCCATGTGAGACCCTCGCCCTGCAGCCAAGGATCAAACTGGCGCTGCAGAGGCTGTGGGCAGCTTCACAGCCCAGTGCTTTACCGCTGCGCCACCAGGGAAGCCCTGAATTTAATTTTAAAAGCCCTTTATGCTCCTCCCCACAACCATACTATACCCAAAAGCTAAGATTTTTTATTCTTATTTTTCTAACATTCATGTTACTGATTTTTGCTTTTCTTTGACATAAGTGGTCAAAGCCCTCAGAGAAGTTTTCTTGAAAATGATTTCATTGAGTTTATTTTTTTCTCTGTAATTCTTAGAAGAATAGTAGCCAAATAAAATGAAACACTTAATTTGGATTCAAGAAACAATTTGTTAAGTGTTCTAATTCATATAGTAAAACCTGAACAACAGAAAATATCAGTGATTCAATAAACATTAATCAGATATAGATCTAGATCTGTAGCTGATTGTCCTAATAGATAAATTTCAGATTAATATCACCAAATACAAAAACATATTTTACAGTACTGTACTTTTAGACAGTCTCTCAGCATTTGCACCATTCTTAGAGATTTTTATATTACGGAAATAGCAAAGTGATACCATTTTATTACAGATATTGACACAACATATTAGCAAAACTGTCAGCTCTGTGCAGTCTGGAACCATCTTGTTTCATTTATTTTTGCATTTCCTGAACTTATCAGTACATAGTACATTGTAGTACTCAGAAAATGTTTAGAGCGTGTTGATACGGTATATACTAACACCTCAATCAACTGTGAGCCTTAGGTGTCCAAATTTACTCATAAGTGAAATTAGCTTGGAAAAAGAATGGTTAATGACTTGCAACACCTAGAGTAACTACAGTACCTAGTTTAATGATGGGACTTCTAATGATCAGTACAAGTAGATTGTTACCTCTGAGCTATACAGTTTAAAGTTTTCAGGGCCAATTTTATTTTAGTTCCATAGCCTCCCACCAATTTATGGTGATGCCTTAACAAAAAAAGAGGACTTTTCTTACCAACTGTAATTGAACGAGTTTCCCCTCTTTGCATCTATCAAACTGCTATCTTCTTCACAGGGAATCCCAGAAAGATAATAGATAATGTCACTCATAATCTGTGAAAACCATTTCTGTTCTTTTTTTAAAAAATACATTTAAAAAACTCTTTACTTTCAAAATATTGTTAATGTGTAAAAAAAATCTTGTTATTTATTAATTAAGCAAAAGATATAGTGGTTTGAAGGTGTGAGAAAGAGTATTTCTTATAGGCAAGTATTCTTTATAGTCAAAAAGCATGTATGCAGGTTTTGCAAAACCATTTTAACATTGCAGTTTGTTTACTATGTAAGTCAGTTGCCCTACCAGTAAATCTTTCCCTATAATGCAAATTTTCAACTTCAAATGAGGAGGATTGAAGGGTATAGATGCAGTCATAGGTAAGGTAGAAATTATCAAATTCTAAAACATATTTTGTGTTAACATTTATTAGCATTTTTCAATTCAAAGAAATAAAAAAATTATAAAGAAGAAAAAATGAACCAAAAGTCTCATTGTCAAGATTATTGATAATTTGTGTCTGCTTCACATATATGTTTTAGCAGGAAAGCAAAAATACATTTGTTAACATTTTTTAAAAATAGAATTAAAACATTCAAGTGATTAGAAAATTTAAACTTTATAAAAATAATATGCTCCCCAAGACTTTTGTTAGCTTCCTAAGGAATTTTTTAATGCATCTATATATCTTTTAAAAAATTATATAAAAGGTTTTATGTTGTCCTCTATTTGGCAGCATTTTTTTGTTGTTCTTTTATATACCTTTTTTGGGGGGCCCCTTTCCATACCAGCATAGGCAGATACAGGCATATATATATATATATATATATATATATATATATATATATATAGTGTGTGTGTATATATATTTTTTATATATATATATTTAAACAGTCTGTCACATGGAGGAGCCATATAATTTTATCAGTCTCTTATTGATGCACACTCAGATTGTTTCCAGTTTTGTTGCATTGATACAATGAACATTCTGTTCACATATTTTTGCAGAGTCTAATTTCTGAGCAGTGGAATTGCTCAAAGAGTGCATTTAGAATTTTGAAGGGCTTTTTCAAATTTCCATACAAAAATTAAATCATTTTCATTCCTGTCAACAGGGAATATAGATAGCATACCAGTTTTTCCCCATATTCTTCTCAATATTAACAAACATTTAAAAAAATTCTATCAGTCTTGTGGGTAAGCTAAATAATATTTTTTAAAAAGGGAAATAAGTGCAATTTTTAAAAATACTCTAGTGGGATTTGAAATTTTTACAAGAGGCTAGTATTCTTATCTTTAATTCTTTTTTATGTTTTATATATTAAGAGATGAAATTGGCCTGATCCCATGTCCTGAAGCTAGATATAACCGGAGTCCCATAGTCCTGGTTGAAAACAAACTTGGTGTGGAGAGCTGGTGTGTCAAGTTCCTTTTACCTTATGTCCACAACAAGCTCCTTTTGTACAGAACGAGAAAGCAATGGCTGAACAAAGAGGGTAAGTATGAACTCTGTCCTCCTCCTTTAGTTTTGCCACAGGGAGGGAAAAACCCTGTCAGGGTGTTGGCATTCCTGGATCCTAGTTCTGGTTCTTTGATTCAGTACCTAGATGGGTGCTTAAGCTCTCTATCAAATGAGGAATTTAGATTCATTTGTAGTTTTCAGATTTTGAATCTATAGTGAATCCTCATGTATATTTTAAATATAAGGCTATGCCTAACTTCATGGCATAGCTTAAAATCATGGATAAAATTTTAAGAAGAATGTGTATCTGTTATTAGATCTTTCATTCTCCCTTCCATCACCCTCTAATCGATTTCATTATGTACAAGATAACACCATATAACACTATATGAATCCTTCAAGTTATCTTTTCCCAAACAAACTTGTGTTATATATGTTCCGGCACACAGAGATGTATAATTGGGCCATACACAACTAACTTGGGTGGGCTGGGGGGTGATGATTTTGTCGAGAAGAAACAGTTTGAATTTCAACCCTTCAAAGGCTGTTGTTTCAGAGCATTAACTTTTGCCTCTTTATGTATACTACCCCAACCCACCTTCTTTTAGTCTTACAAGTCCTACCATTTTTCTGTTTCTTGTCTTTATGAGCATAGCAGGCTTTGCTGAATCTTGTCATCATGTAGTTTTAGTCTCAATAGACCCAGGAAGACCCAGGCAAAAGATCAGATGGTTAAGCTTACTCACAGATAGCTGGCATCTGAACTTTGAAATCCAATACAGCTCTGCATAGGTACAGAAGGAACTTGATTTTATCCTAGCATGTAGTTTCTAGCTTCATTTTGGGGTGGGGGAAGGGGGCTAGGACAGTATCGTTTAATATGGTATCGTATACTGCTGAAGTTGTATATTATTGGTAAAAATGTGGAAGCCAATTTTTGATTTGACAGAAAAGGTACCTGAAAATGCTAACTAACAAGAGTGGTCTGCCAAACTTGTGAACCGAAGCAATTAGAACATAGCAGTGCATCTTACTAAGAAAAAAAGTTTAAAATATTAAGAAAAAGCAGTTAATTCATGAAAATACTGTACCTTTAAAATGGTTTTTGTAGAAAATATACAAATAAGAAAAGTTTGTCCAGAAAGCTGACAATTTAAGAACAGTTTCAGATCATGTCAAAAACCAGGATATCCCCTAAGAATGTTGTCTATAACTGAAGGTTAACTTTATTCTTGGATTATTTTTTCTTTTTGATCAAATTGAATTTATGCTTTCATTAACATGCTGAATTCCCTAGATGCTTAGAAAGTATATGTACTAGGGTTCTCCAGAGAAACAACAGTAGAAATGTTATATATTATAAATAAATAGAGAGGCAGAAGACATATATTATGACAATAAGTTGGCTCAAGTGATTACGAGCAGTCCCACAGTTGCGCTCTGCAAGCTGAAGCTGCAGAAAAACTGGCGATGTAATTCAGTGTGAATCTGAAGACCTGAGAACCAGGTGACCAATGTTTTAAATCCCATTCCAAAAGCCCCAGAAGATAAGATGTTCCTATAGATGGGAAAGCAATATAAAGGGGTAAATTTCTCCTTTTTTCTCCTTTAGTTCTACTGAGGCTCTCAACAGATTGGGTGATGCCCACACACATTGGGAAGGGTAGTCTGCTTTATTGAGCCCACAGATTCAAATGCTAATGTCATCTGGAAACACCCTCACAGATACTACATTTAGAAATAAGGTTTAATAACCTTATTTGATAATCTGGACACCCTGTAGCCAGTCAAGTTTAACCAAAACTGACCATCCAGCATCCCTATTTTAGAGATTGAGGTTATTTGAAAGGCTGCTGTTCTAATAGCCATATTTGGTGTGGGCCACTAATGATAACTAATTCTGATTTTTGAGAAATCCGTGAGAAGAGCAAAAGAGCAAGAGAAGAGTCCACAGCACTGTATTCCTGATGGCAGAGCTCTGTCCTGCTCTCTGCCCAAGTATGCACCTCTGTCCTTTGGCTCTTCCCTCTTTCTTCCAACCCCTGCTCTCCATAACTGAACTATTTCTTTAAAAGCTGTCTTCTGCTCTGTTTCTAATTTCTTATCAGACAAATGTGATTTCCTCATAGCTTATAACTCCATTTTCAGTCTGTCTTTTTCAACCATGTCCGTCATGCCAAACTGAAGTTAACACTTGCCAGCCACACATCTTGGAAACACAATTTGAGTGATGATTTTTTGAAATATAAATCTGCTCATCCCGTTTCATGATGCCTGCGCAGTCAAGGTAGAATTCAGACTGCTTGGCATAGTATCCAAGGGGATACTTGGGTCTGTCCCCAGACTATATTACTAGCCTTTTCCTCAACTCTATATTCAGCATCAGAGATTGTAGATTCTTATCCCCCACACTGAAGTTAGCTCACAGATAGAGTTTGTTTTGAATTGTGTAATTTTTTTTTAAATTGTTCTTAATTATCTGGGTAAACATTTAAAATCAGCCTGAACTTTTAAAATTAGGTTGAGAATCTGGGTTCATTTTCAATTGAAAAATCAGAAACCTTAGATATATAAGTTTCTCACAGCAGCAATTGGCTAAGACTAATAGTTTCTGATTTTCTTGACTAGGGAAGCCTACTACAGTTTACTACTACCTCCTCTTATGTTTCAGACACTGAAGCAGTGTGTCAGTTGCTACTTAACAAATAAGATTTGCTTTGTTACTTTGACATTTCAACCCTTGAAGCATTTAAGTTTGTATTCACTTGATACATTCCAGTCACAATAATTACTATACCATTCTTGGGCTTTACTGTCAGTCACATGGACTTCCCAGTAAGTGGTAGAACTGTTGGCCTGCAGGACAAACACTCTCCAGTGAAGTTAGCATTTACTTTGATTAGTTGTCCTCTCTTTTCATAGACACAAAATGAAAAGTGAGAACTTAGGTATTTTATGTGCTTGTTAGTTTTTGCCTTATACTGCTTTATATTTTTCAGAGAAGATGAATCCTTCATTTACGGGTGGAGCAGTGCAAACAAATAGCAACTACCATTAACACTTTTTTTTTTAAATGCAGAGTCAAAGAGACTAATTACCAGTTTATTTGGGTAATATAAAATGGATGTTGAAAATTGTAGACTTCCAAAGAAATTCCAGAGACCTTCCTATTACACATGAACTTTTCCACATAAATTAACTACCAAGTAATTTTTTTTTTGTTATTGTTGCTTATTATACTACTTTTAAAAAGTTACAGTTTCACCTTAGAAACTTGTCTAATTCTGAGAATTAAGTGACGTTGAAAATTATTTGCTTCTGGTGGTAAGTAGCATTGGTATTTAGTTAAACAAATATTTTGAGTACTCACTATTTGTCAGTTATCTGTGAAGAAATGGAATGAATCTCAATGCTCATAACATTGAGGTTGATGTTATCCCCATTTCAAAGATAAGGAAGCTTAAGTTCAGTGACATGCAAGCAAATCAGTAGATTCCAACCCACGCAGTATGGATTTAAGGCCTATGTTTTACTATGCCTCTGTACTGTGAGTAGGTATGGAACTTCTTTTGTGCAAGGGTCATATTTTTTTCACCTGCATTTAGTGAGTGGGTAATGTGAAACTATATTAGAGAGGACCTACCTCCAAAAAAGTTACAGTCTAATTAAGAAGATAATATTTATACAAGATTAGTAATAAAATAAGATTACTTTTAGCTGGTTAGGTCAGAAAGCCCTTATGAGAGAGTTGCTTTTTCCCCTCTTTGTTAGATATTGATGGGAATTTCTGTATTTATTGGAGAGAGAATGGCAAACATAAATCTGCATTAGGTCTAAGAAAAGAAGGCAGGCAGATAGGAAGTATGTTTAGGGATGGTGGGATTTGGTTCTTGTGGCGTATAACACGAGAAGGGAAAATAGTAGAAGATCAGGCAGCGCGGAGATTAGGGCAGGGATCTTTCTAGTTTCCTGCTATGTGGCATCATAATCTCTTTGAGAGCATTATGTCAAATTCCGTGTCTCTTTACCTTTGCTTATACCTTTTCCCCATCCTGTATGGTGCCCTTTATCACCTTATTCATGTTTAGTTTTTCCTGACAACTCTAGGAAGACTTAATTGCAATAGCTTCAGTAGTCTCCAAATGTGATATATGCTTGTATTTCACAAATATTTCATTTTGTCATATACAATTACTTGCTTTTATGTTCTTTCCCACTAAAGGTGAATTTTTAGTGGGCGAGATTGGGTTTTATTTAGAATAATAATCATTCTCTCAGTCCTAAGATCCCAGTTGAATCTTTGCATATCGTCAGTACTGGACAGTTTATGGAGTTAAATGAATAATGGTATAGAAAGCTGCATTTATTTTCTCTGGCAGATATTAAGTTAGTACCAAGAGCTGCTAAAAGAATGAAGAGTAATTAGATAATTCTTTATAGGAATATAGTGCTTATGCATGTAATGATTTATAATGAGGGAAATTGAAGTCAAAAACAGTGTGCTAATCCTACCTTTTATTGTTCATTTATTGAATATTAAACTCAGAAGTAATGAAATCATAGGATCACAATAAATGTTGAACTCCTTTACTAAGTTGGTTGACAATGGAATAATTGATTTTCTTATTCACTAGAACACTTTCAAATGAATATAGGGAAGTATTTATATGTACTTGTTCTTAGGTTTAAAAAAAGTTTATCTTTTACTTAAACACTGAAAGTGTCTCAATTATTTATTGTAGATTGCCATATAATTGAGTTATTAAAAGCAGTCTGCAAATACTGATCTGGCCACATGCTGATTGGCTGACTATGGGCAAACTGCTTAAACTTTCTAAGTGTCTTTGTACCCATATGTAAGTGAAATAAGAATATCTTATTTGTGAGAATTCAGTGAAATAATGTAAATAAAGTACTTGATACTGTCCCTAGTACATAATATTGCTAAAACAGTATAACAGTTATTTTTATTATTTTGTGAACTTAGCATTTAATATGAGCTTGGTAGAGGTTATGTATACACCCTAGGTTGATCGTCTTACTCCTAGACTTCTTTTTTTATTTTGGTAAAATGAAGTCATTATTGCTAAATAATATTCATTTTTTTCTATTAAATAAAAGCTTATGGAACTTACTTGATTATATAGAAATTCTGTCAAGGCCTTAATAGATAGCTAATGAATATGATTAGTCTGTTCATGAGACTAGAAAATAGTAAACAGAAATGAAATGTGAATATTAAAAAATTATAAATTAAATAGAAATAAAGTACAGTTTCTATCCACCACATTTTAAAAATGCAATTATATAAGTGAGAGTTAAAAGAACATAAGTATACTCATGTTACTCTTGGCAATGTAGATAGGTAGAATTTATTTTGGAGGACAATTTGTACATGCTCTGTAGGAACCATACTGATATTTATATTTTACAAAGTAGTTTTACTCTGGAAATATATCTTAGGAAAATAATTCATCACACAAAAAGCATGTTTTAAAATGTTTGTGGCAAACTGGTAGATATTATAGTCTGGCAACATTACATGCTGGTGAATATAAGGGAAAAGGATGGATTTTATTCGCTGATAGAACTATCAATAGTTGCTATAACCGCTTTAAAAAATAATTTGTCACCTTCTAATAAAATTGAAAATGTGTAAAAAAAAGTTTGTGGCAATATTATTTGTAACAGTAAATAGAAAATGACCTAAAATATAATAAATGATAGTATATTATACTAGGGGATTTTTATAGCTGTTAAAAATACATACTGTAGCAATATAGGCTAGCGTTTATAAAATGTTATTGAATAGAAAAGAGAACACAATACACATTTATCATTGCTTTAGTATAAAATGTACATAAGAAAAAAATCTTTGCAGGAAACATAAATGAATTGCGTTAAGTAAATTGGATTTATGAGTGATTTCCCCCCCCCCATTTTGAAAATTTGCACTTAGTCAATTAGAATATTTGTGGGATCAAACAAGTCGTGATATAGAAAGAATATTTCTTTTACTTAGTAAATGTTAAATCAGTACCAAAAATTACTAAAATAATGAAGAGATGAATTTGATTATTCTTTATAGGCATATTGTATTGTAATGTTTAGTGTCAACTTTTAAATTATGAGTAGAAAAAATCTTGAGTATAACCTTCATATTGCTGACAGCCTAGAACAAGGTATATATCATTAAAATTGCTTTGGCATGAAATATGTATATGTAATGATATATACTCATACATATAAAGTATGTGTCTACACACACACACATATACAGGGGAGCTTAAAAGAAAAAGAGGCCAGACTTTAAAAGGTAGTACTATTTTTTAAAATGTGACTTTTCTTTCTTTTAGAATTAATAGATGTCACATGCACCCTGCTGCTTCTCAACCCAGACTTTACCACTGCATGGAATGTGAGGTATGTCATTCTTGTTAGTGATAAAATGAAATTTTCAAATTTCTGAAGACATATAAGCCCTTCAAATTGCTAATTTTTGAAAAATGAATATAAACCATAGGTCCATGGCACCTATTTCTTCTACCCACTTTTAAAAATTCTGACATACACATTGTCCCTGTGTATTTGTGTCTGTACTCCGTGAACTTCTTGCCTGATATATAAATTGTTGTGTTGAATTATAGGTACCATTTAATATATGCTTTTATTTTCTTTCATTTTTAGGGGGATGGGGCAATCAGTATAATTGGTTGGATTGTAAGGCACTGGATAATGTTCTTGAGAATGTATATGCGGTGCATTGGAATGTGTGGAAGATAAAGATTCAATGTTTTTGTCTCAGTTTAGTCAAGAGTGCTGTGACTTCTGTGGGCAAACCATTTAAAGAATGTAGCACTCCATATTTTGTAAACACATTACATTATAGAAATACCTTTTTTTTTTTTTTTTTGTGGGACCCTCGCCGCTGGCTGTGGAATGAACCGGTGCTGCGACACGGCACTCAACCACTGAGCACCAGGGGAGGCGCTATATAAATATCTTAAGTACCTTAATTCTGATTGCTACAGCATTGAACACAAAATAGTTAATAGGTATATTAAAATTCAGACCAGGTTTATTTTTTCACTGAAACTTTTTCATTTAAGCAATCTCTGGTTTTTCAAAGTTCATGGTTTCTCTTAAGCCAACACATTCTCTTTGAGGGAAGCAGGATACAAATTATAGATAAATAAAATGAAGTTCCTTTAAACACTGTGAATTCATTTTAAATTTTCCTGTAAAAAGAATTATAGCTTAAAGCTCTTTATCTTGAAGGTGATTTAAACATAATTTTCTGTGTAACGAACAAGGTTATTACATCCTGAGTTTGTGTTCTATAATAGCTACTGAATTTTTTACTTTTAAAAATTAGCTACTATTATGTCTTTTTAAATTATCTTTTAGATAACAATCAAATACCTAAAGTAGAGAGTAGGAAAAGTATATAATAAAATGTCGGTTTTAAAATTTCATTTAATTTTAGAATTGAGATTTTCTTTACTGGAAAACTTGACTGTGGTCAAGGAATAGACTAATGTTTTTGAGTGTCTGTTATAATCGGGGGGCCACACTACAAATTTATTACCCAGTATTGCATTTAATACACATGATCCTTGATATTTGTTTATTCATGAAACATTTATTGATTAACTACTATGTTTAGGTTATAGGCACTAGAAATAGAGCCACGAAGAAAGCCAACCGAAACCTTTGTGCTTGTGGAATTTTTATTTTAGTAGAAGAGAGAAAGCAATAAAGACATTAATAAGTAAAATTTATATGGGCCTCCCCAGTGGTGCAGCAGTTGAGCGACGGGTTGCAAAGCTGCCCGCAGCCTCTGCAGCACCAGTTTGATCCCCGGCCACTGGGTGAGGGTCCCACATGGCACGCAGACCTCTCCTGCCGCCCGCTGCTCCCCTCAGCAGTGTACTTTGTCAGTCTGTCTGTTCTGCTCCCCGCTCTGACTCTGGTGAATTCTCTCACCCTCCTGCGCTTCTGACTATACCCAGTGCTTGTATAAATAAATAAATAAATCTTTTAAAAAAAAGTAAAATTTATAGTACATCAAGTAGGGTAAATCTTACAGAGAACAAAATGGGAAAGGAAAGTGGGGAACACCAGAATGACTGTAGGAAGAATAGTATTGCAGTTTTAAATAAGGAATGTTTGAGCAAATACTGGCATGAAGTCAGGGATCAATCTCTGGGTTCTGGGGTATGAGCTTCCGGCTAGAAGAAAAAGCAACTGAAAAACCTCTCAGTCAGGCCTAAGGTGTTCCTGGGTGTTCTGGGATAGCAAGTAAACCTGTGTAGGTGGAGTAGCATGAATGAGGGAGAGGGTAACAAGAAAGAGGTATAGGAGATGGGTCAGATCTCATGGGGCTTTATAGATATTCGTAAGCTGCTACAGAAATTTTAAGTTTATTAAGATAGAAAGACATTGGAGATTTTTGAACCACTCTAGCCCTTGCATGGAAAGAAGATTGTGAAAGTATGGGAAATGACTAGGAAGTTAGGAGGTAACCGTGGTAATTTAGGTGAGAGATGTTAATGACTTGAAGTTGAGCTCAACAGTAGTAGTAGTGATAGTAGTAAGATTCTCACCTTATTTTATAAACTATGTGAGCTTCAACTATTTTATAAGCTGATTTTAAAGATACAGATGATGCATTGAATGTGAGAGAAAGAAGAGGGTCAAGCTTGAGTCTGGCTTTTGGCTTGAGCAACTGAAAGGATGGAATTGCTATTCACTGAAATTGGAATGTCTAGAAAAGGAACAGATTTAGAAGGGGTGCTGGCTGGAGTTCAAGAGTTCAGTTTGGAGCATAGTAAGTTTATATACATGTAGTTGTGTATGAGTATAAAAGTTCACATGAAAGGTCTAGGCCAGTCATAAATTTCAGAATCATTAGAATATGGACAGCACTTAAAGCCATGAGATTGTTTGAGATTGCCTAAAGAGTGAGTGTCAATAGAAAGAACAGGTCCAAAGACTGAGCACTGGGACACAGGTTTTTAGAGTTGTACAGTCCAACATAGTAGCCAAAAGCCACACTAGTCTCAATTGAGATGTGCTCTATGTCTAAACCTCAAATTAGACTTCAAAAACTACCTCCAAAGTAAAGTATAATAATTTTTATGTTGATTACATATGGTTTATAACATTTTACATATATTGAGTTAAATAAAATATATTGCTCTATAATGTAGATGTTAGAAAATTTTAAATTACCTATATGGCTCATGTTTGTGACTGACATTATATTTCTTTTGGGCAGCACTGTCCTAGAGTTTTCAAAATGAGGAAGAATCAGTAAAGGAGACTTTAGGAAGATACTATACACTTAATACTGTGAGCTTTCTGAAGGATAGAGACTGTATCTTTTTTTAAAATTTGTTTCCCTAGCATCTAGTGCCTGAAACATAACACATGGCACATGGGCACTGGAAATAATTAAATTCAATGAAAAAGAAATGAAAGTATTAAAGTGTGAGTACCATTTTTATTCATGTTGTCATATTCCTCATCATTACAAAGAGGAAAAAATACATATTTTCCAAGTATATGTATTTTCATTGTACATTCTAAAAAGTAATGTATAAGAAAGAACCTAGTCTTAAGATCCATGGAAGTTAATCCTGTTTACAATTAGCAGTTGACTTTGCACAAAATCTTTAACTTCTCAGTAACCTTCTCAAAATCTTTATCTGTTAAATGAAAGATTTAAATTAGGTGATTTTTTTAATGGATCTTTTGAAACTTTGACTATGTATTGTTTGGTCTTATGAGGGGAAATTGTTCCATAAATACAACTTCAATGACGTTAGTAGCAGTTAATCTTGAAAATTATTCTAGGTAAGAGAATAGTAAAATTTTGTGCTAGCTGAATAGAAAGGAAATCTGGATTCCATTGTGGATATGTGTTCTAGTAAATTTTAATTTGTATTAATAAGATTGAATTATGAAGGTTTAGGACAATAGTACATTTTGAACAAAAATGCAATAAGCTTAGGAAATAAACTCAATTTGATAATAAACTCATCAAGAATCCTGTAAAACTTCTTGCAAATCAAATACTAAATACTTTGTTTAATTGTTGGTGTATTTCTTCTGTAGTAATTCTGGGAAACATAGAGTGATTTTGACTGCTTGTAATAGCAGATTTGATGTCTCTTTGTGACCACTTAGTACTTGGAGACCTTGAGCAGATTACCCAATCTCTTCATGCTTCAGTTTTCTCATCTGTAAAATTGAGATACTAGATTGAGCCCTATGACATTTTTGTTTGTATAGATCAAAAATCCTTAATTCCCAGCACCCATTTCTTAGTTTTTAACATTATTCATCAATAAAAGGATCTGGGTTTCTTGGAGAAGTGGATGATTCTAGGATGAGGTCTGAAAATTTACAAAATGAGCATGGAACATCCTGTAGTCAGAAAGTAATAAAATGCTCAAAAACAATATGGTGGAAGTATGTCAAAGAAACACAAGAATCACTGAAGGAGCTTCCAGGGGCCAAAGCTGGAATAATTTGAGCAATAAAATAAATAACATAGTATTGGATTATACCCCAAAGTATAAAATGGATATCTATAGCCTTATGTTGACATAATTAAATAACTGAATAAAGAGATAGGTAACAATAAAGAAATCTCCCATATAGAAAAATCCCAGATAATTTATCTTAAAGAGAGAGTGTAACTCCTCTTTAAGTGTGATAGTAAAGAAACGACATATGCTACTTCACTAGGTAATCAAGGTCAACATCAACAATGATAAGTCATGCTGATTGTTTGTGCACCTACTATGATGTGCTAAAAAGGCCACTTATCTCAGTTGTTTCTTCCTCCTCAAAAACCATAACCCCAGTTAATTATGACAAGAAACATGTAAAATGTATGGTCAGTACACCTCAAAAAATGTCATGGGTTATCAAAAGAAAGGTTTATTGGAGAGAACCCCCATGAAGACACCAGAAAAGGAATATTTGATAAAAACTAAGAAATTCTGAATAAAGTATGTAGTTCCAATAATTATTGATAATAATTCATCAATTATGACAAGTGTACCATGATAATATGTTAATAAGGGAAATAGAGTATAGAGTACCCAGGAATAATTACTACTTTATCATAAATTTAAATGATTCTAAAATGAAAACTTTATTTAAAAAAAAAGAAAAAGATAATTGAGTATCACTAATTTCATGTAGTTTTAGATAATACAGGATTGTGAGAATTGAATTCCATAATCTATGCAAATCACCTAAAAGTTTATTAAATTACAGGATGACCACTCAATGAAAAATATTTAGCTATTTAAAATGCTTATTTTTAAGGTTATATAGAACCATGGGGGTATGTGGAATTATATGTGGAAATGTAGAAGAGAAAATTGAAAAATTAAAATTGTAGTTTTGTTTAGAACAATGATTGAAAGAATGATTTTGTTCCCCTGGCATCTCAATTGTAACTGTTGGGGGATGTCTATTTTCTTGTGTAGCCCCAGCAAGGCACAGAGCAGGTTCTCTAGGGAGACGGGTAAAGGAGGAGTCCTGGACCCCTCAGTGGCTTCTTCAGGCTTTTAATGATCTTTCTACACCATTTGTAGTGAGGCAACCAGGCTGGCAGGCCTCCTAGCCCCCAGCGAATCTTTGCTCTTTCTGGGTTCTCTGGTGTTGTCTCCTGATCTCTCGCTGGTCTTGCTGCACTCTGCCACACGGTCCTTTGCCATCTTGCCTCTGCTGCCGCCTTTATGTATGCTTAGTCTCTTGGCTCAGGTGTGCCCACTGATGCATGCCCACACCCTACTCTAGGTGTCCGCCACTAGGCATGCATGTAAGACCTCCGGTGTTGCCATGCTGGTGGCAGGAGAGCGGAAAAAACCTGACAACTTCCATTTACTCTACATCTTGCAATGAACTAGACCATGTCAAGTCCTACTCAGGAAACTAGACCAATTTTTGACTGGTATTAGATCCCCTACAGACACTGATGTCAGACCTCATAAGTTTTGGAAGTGAGACAGGACAGGAAACCTTTTGCCCTCCCCCAAATAGGTAACATTCCACTGTTATGATATAAGAGCTTCTTTTTTTCTCACTATTCATTATTTTGATATTATGAGAATACATTCTTGATTACTGTGTGACATTTATGGACTATTTTTTTAACACTAGGAAATTTACTTCACAGTGAGGTTATATTTATAACCATAAAGTATGTTTGGATATAAAGATAAAGTAATCCTTTTTATTTTTATTTTTCAGAAAAGAGCTGATCCTCTCTGGCACTTTAAATCCAATTAAGGACTTATATCTGGGAAAACTGGCCTTAACTAAGTTTCCAAAGAGTCCAGAAACATGGATTCACAGGTCTGGTTAATTTACAAGATAGACTTCTTTCTTAGAATTCAGAATGACTGGAGTAAAATAACACAGAATATAAAGCAGGATATATATTGGTTCAGAGTATGAATTCTAAAGTCAAGTTACCTATGTTTAAACCACATAGTGCTACTACCAAGGTGATCTTTGGTAATTGTTTAACTTCTTCAGGCCTCAGTTTTCTCATTTGTAAAATGGGAATAATAACGATACCTAATTCAGAACTTGGTTGCATTTACATGAGATAATATATTTGTATATGTATATTGATACAACCACAGTGCCTTGCACATAATAAATTATACCTATTACTATTAGCTATTTGAAGCTGTCATGAAGATTACATTTAGATATTCAATTATAGGAAGCAGTTTGGATTTTATAATACACTTGGGTATGTTCCTGATAAAGATGGTGGTGGTTATTAAAATTAACCAAATAAGAAAAGTAGAAACAGCTGAGGTGATTGGTGCATAGGCTGAACTAATGTTGCTAAGACCATAAAGAATATTTTTAGGTTAAAGGCCCGAGGCCCGTAGCCAAAATGCACATAAGAACTCCTAAAAATCTAGATTGTCTGGAAGCATCTTCCTTTTGGATCCCATGTTTTTCTACTCTGTTTTGACTAAAATGAGATGGTATGGCCTTACTGTTGCTGTGAGTAGAGAAATCCCTGAAGAAGTCAGTTCTCAGTTCATTAAACCACTTACAGCTTTTTAAAAATCCTGAGCATTTTTAGGATCTTAAAGTCAGTTCAAGGTATCTTTGCTATAATTCTTGCCTTTGGCTAGCATTGCAAATCAGCTACTTCTAAACCATATATTCAATTGTATTTTCTTTTTTTTTTTAACCAGAAATTGCTATGGCAGGCTTTAGAGAGGTATATGATTGTGTAGTGGCAAGGTAAGGGAAATATAAATATGTATCCATCATTTTACTGGTTTGTCTTAAGCAAAGACATTAAGTGTTTAGAGACACTTTTTTAAGTACTTTTCATTTAAAGGTATGCTAATGAAAATCTTAAATAGACAAGGAAAAAAATCAGTGGATAAAAACATTTTAAAATCTCCTTGATGGCTTAACTAATTATATTGTATTTGTTTCCTTCCAGATTCTGTGCAATAATACTGAAATTTTGATTAATGAAAGCTGTCATAATGCAGATTCTTGTTTGCAAATATGCATAAAGTGAAGCATCAACATAGAATTAAATATGTGAACTATGACTTTCTTCTAGTATTTACCAGCCATCATTATACTTTCTTACACACACACAGATTCACAGACCACTTGCCTTTATATTTCCTGACCAAATGATGTTTTAGAGTTGTCGGTTTAGAATTGATATCATTTTCTCTTTGATGAGTTTCAGTGTTTTAAGGTTTATCATCCTCGTTCTCCTCCCCCTGCCATCATTCACACTGCTAACTTCAATTATTATTCAATAATTCAACGAAGCAATACTCTCTCCCCCCAGAAGGAAAAACTGGATTTATTGAAAGGGATTATTTTGTGTTGTCTGGAATAGAAATGAAATTCAGAACAAGAAAACTGATTGTTTTCCTCTCTGGTTCATGTTCTTTCTTCATTCTCTTTACCACATGCCACCTGTGAATAGGCGATGGGTGCTACAACAACTAATTCAGGAAACCTCCTTACCTTCCTTTGTGACCAAAGGAAATTTGGGAACAATTCCTGCAGAAAGGACACAGCGACTAATAAGAGAAGAGATGGAGGTCTGTGGTGAAGCAGCTGGGAGATACCCAAGCAATTATAATGCTTGGTCCCATCGCATCTGGGTATTGCAGCACCTTGCCAAGCTAGATGTGAAGGTAGGACTACTGTTGTATCTCCGTACGCAGACACCTTGCCTGCTCTTTAAATCTTCTTGTAGTAGTTCTTCCTAAGAGGATCACTAAAGGAGGAGAGTAGATCAGTTGATGGCCCAGCAGCCTGGTGAGAATCATGACAACTGATACCTTCAAGGAAACTCTGGCAATTAAAAAAAAGTTTGCATTTCTTACCAGTGTGGTTTTTATTCTCTTAAGGCTTATACACTGATAGAACAAAAGCAGGATTAAGCAATAAGGAATACTGTGCATAACTAACTTTGCCCTGAATCAAAGAAGAGATTATTAAGCCTTAGAATTGAAATTGTTCTTTCTTGGTAGTCTTTGGTTATGTGACTCAATGTACTGAAGCAGCTGGCTGCCTTCTCAGTCTTTTTTTCCTGGGCAAAGAACGTAAGATTTCACCCAGCTATACCCAAACTCTTCTTCTTTTTTTTTTTTTCCAATCGCCAATCACAATTTTGCCTCAATAGTGATTATCTTTCCTTCCTTCCTTTTTTTTTTTTAACAGTTCACTAGATTTTAATTTTACTCACAAAACAGCATGTGAATTAGTCAATCCGCCTGTTCTGCTCCCCATTTTGTCTCTGGTGAATCGTCTCACCCCTCTGCACTTCTGGCCTGTACCCCACTTCTTGCATGCATAAATAAATAAATCTTTAAAAAAAAACAGCTTGTGAATTAATAGATATTACTCTGGTTTCTCATGTCTCTTTTGAAGGAGAGCGTGTTTACTTAAATTATTAAAAACAAACAAATTTTTTCATCTTAAGTCCTTTAAAAGTTCTATTTGGTTGTATCGTATTTGCCAAATAGTTCAGGGTGGTGGTAAACTGCGTTTATTTTTGAAATTACATTGATTCATGCATTCTGTTTTTTTACTTTCACCCTCCACCAAACCACTGATCCTCATACATCATCTATCCCAAAACTTGACTTGAGTCTATAAATTACCTGAGCATTCCTAAGTCCCACCCCAGACCTACTCAATCAAAATGAGGATATGACTTAGAGATCGTTATTTTTTATTGGCTCATGGGGCTTTTTGGATGCAGGACCAGGTTAGAAATGCTCGGCATAACCCTTTCAATTTAGAAATGAGGAGATGGAAATTTCTAGAAAGTTTTAGTGACTTAGACTTGGCTATAGTTATGTCATTTATTCATCAGAATGAAAAACAGGTATCCTTATGTGCCTACCCACATGGTATAGCCTATTTTTTTTTTTTTTTTTTTTCAGGTAACATTAGTTTACAGTACTCTGAAAGTTCTGAGTATTTTCTCACCACGCCCACCGTCAGTTTACCAGTCATTATCCACTCCCAACTCATTGGCATCTTCTACCTCTTCTCTTCCACATACCTTCCCTCCTGAGAACCACTATTCTTTAGTCAGAGTGTATGGATTTGGTTATATATTGGTTTACTTTATGTTCCACAAATCAGTAAAATCATACAGTATTTGTCTTTCTCTTTCTGACTTCTCTTAGCATAATCCTCTCAAGGTCTTCTATGTTGTCACAAATGGCAATATATAGGCTTTTTATGGCTAAGTAGCATTCCATTCATATATATATATGTGTGTGTATCTATGTATACACACACACCATATCTTATTTATCCACATTCATCTATAGTTTGGCACCTGGATTCGTTATTTTAAATATTGCTACAATGAGCATGCATCTTTTCGAGTTAGTGTTCTCATATTCTTCAGGTAACTACCCACAAATGGGATTACTTAATCATATGGTAGTTCTATTTTTAATTTTTGAGAAACCACCATACTGTTTTACATAATGGCTGTACTGTTTACATGCTCACCAACAGTACTTGAGAGTTCCTTTTCTCCACATCCTTACCAACTTTTATTATTGACTTGACATTTTATGATAACCAGTTTAATCAGTGTGAGATGAGATTTCATTGTGTATTTGATTTGTATTTCCCTTATGATCAGCAGTGCAGCATATTTTTTTCATGTGTCTATTGGCCAGCTATATATCTTTGGTGACATGCCTGTTTAAATCCTCTGCCCATTTTTTAGTTGGATCGTATTTTTGTTGTTGAGTTGTACATGTTGTTTTTATATTCTGGGTATTTACCCCTTATCTGATAATATGGTTTGCAAATATCTTCATTTATTAGGCTGGCTTTTCATTTAATGATGGTTTCTTTTACTGTACAAAAGCTTTTTAGTTTGATATAGTGCCAGTTATTCATATTGCCTTCTGTTTCTCTTGCTCATAGAGATGAATCCATAAAAACATAACTATTGATAAGATTGATGTCAAAGAACTTTTTAATTTGTGTTTTCTTCTATGTGTTTTATGGTTTTAGGTCTTATATTTCAAGTCTGTAATCCATTTTGCAAAGATTTTAGCATATGTTATAATGTTCTAGTTTCATTGTTTTACATGTGGTTGTCCAGTGCCACTTAATGAAGAGACTTTCCTTTTGCTGTTGTATTCTCTTGGCTCTTTTGTCATGAATTAGTTATCCCCATTTATGTGTGGTTTTTATTCTGTGCTGGTCTGTTCTGTTGGCTTGTGTGCCTGCTTTTATTTTGGTACCATTCTGTTTTGGTTACTATAGCTTGTAGTATAGCTTGAAGTCACCGTGCATAATAACTCCGTTTTGGTTCTTTTTCCTCCATATTGTTTTGGCTATTTGAGGTCTTTTGTGGTTCCATACAAATTTTAGGATTTCTTAGTGCTGTTTCTATGAAGAATGCTATTGGGATCTTAAGAGATTGCATTTAATCTGTTTATTGCTGTAGTTAGAATGGCCATTTTAACATTCTTCCAATCCTTGAGCATGGAAGGATTGTTCCTTTGTTGATTTTTTGATTTGTTCCTTTTTTGATTTCTTTCAATAGTATTTATAGTTTTCAGGAACAGCTTCATGTTTTCCTAGACAGAAATTTTAGATGAAACTGGCTACCAGTTTGCTTTGTCAGCTCAGTGCAATTTACTTATGAAAAAATACTGAAACCCTACCATTCCCAGACACTGTTCTATATACTGGGTATGGCAGGTGGATAAAGAGCTTGCTCCTTTGGACTCTAGAAATAGCTACTAGAAGGAGGGATTTTACATTGTCAGGAGTCTAAAGCTATGAGAACAAGTTATTTGGTGGGTTGTGGATAATATTTTATACTGGGTGATCTCAGCTCCACAACTTGATAGTATGATCTCATCTCCACAACTTGATAGGAAGGAGGCAAGGAGCACGGGAATCATTGAAGATAAAGAGAAAAGCATTCCAGGTGCGCTGACAGATTGTTAGAAACTTCCCTCCATTGATGTGTACCTTTTAAAATGGCATTCCCATAAATCAGCAACAAGGGGCCAAAGTAAAATTATTTTACTTGAAACCATTCACCGTTAAAGATGACAACTCATTGTCCACTCTTGGACTTACATGTGGTCAGCCTCAAAGTTCTTCCTGTCACCACTTGTTTCTAGTCTTTCTGACATGGGTATGAAGTGATATCTTATTGTGGTTTTGGTTTGCATTTTCCTAAGAAAAAGTGAGCAAATTTTCTTGTTCTTGTAGGTCATCTGTATGTCATCTTTGGAGAACTATCTTTATATTTTCTGCCCATTTTTTGATTGGGTTATTTGTTTTCTTTTTGTATGAGTTCTTTGTGGATCATAGATCCCCTTGTTGGATGTATGATATGCAAATATTTTCTGCCATTCAATAGGGTGTCTTTTCATCCTTCTTTTGCTGTACAGAAGGTTTTTAGTGTGATGTAGTTCCATTTATTTATTTTGCTTTTGTTTCCCTGGCTTTTGGAGCCCCCAGAGACATCCCTGGAGTCAGTGCCATGGAGTATTTTACCTGTATTTTTGTCTATGTGTTTTTATGGTTTTTGGTCTTACAGCCACATCTTTAATCCACTTTGAATTAATTTTTGGTTATGCTGTGAGAATAGTCTAGTTGCATTGTTTTACATGTGCCTGTCCAATTTTCCCCATACCATTTATTAAAAAGATTTTCCTTTCTCCATTGTGTGCTCCTGGCTTCTTTGTCAAAGATTAACTGTTCATATAAGTGTGGTTTTATTTCCGACCTCTCCATTTTATTCCCTTGGTCTGTCTGGTTTTGCTCTAATTTTGACAACTATAGCTTTGTAGTATAGTTTGAAATTTGGGGATGTGATATCTCTGTTCTTCCTTTTTGTCAAGATTGCTTTAACTCTTCAGAGTGTTTTTGTGGTTCCATACAAATTTCAGTGGTGTTTATTTATTTGAAGAAAGCCATTCAGCAATTGATAGGGATTGCTTTGAATTTCTGTGTTGCTTTGGATAAGATGGCCATTTTGACAATGTAATTTTTCTGATCTGGAGCATGGAATATTCCATTTTTTTTGTTATCTTTATTTATTTATTTATTTTTAAAATGTCTTAGAATATTCATTGTACAGGTCTTTCTTGTCCCTCTTTTGTTATGTTTATTCCTAGGTACTACTTAATTCCTTTTGATGCAATCATAAAATGAATAATTTTCTTAATTTCTTTTTCTTCTAGTTCCTTATTTGCATATAGAAATGCAATACTTTACTGATTTATTGTTTCTAATAGTTTTGAAATGATTTTTTAAGTGCTGATATCCAGCACTACTAAGGTATGAAAAACAAACATTATGGAAATTGGTATAATCCTACAGAAAGGGAACATGGCAGCATTTACCAGATCTTAACCAAAAGAAATGTGTGTTGCTCTAATCTAGCAGTTCTGCTTCTAGAAATTTATCCTAAGGAAATAATTGGAAATGCAGAATGGTATAATAATTAAAGGGTCTACTTAGTGGCCTTAGAGATCTAGTTTGAATCCTTACTCCACCACCCATTTGCTCTGTGGCTTTGAGGAAGTTTCTTAGCCTTTCTACCGAGACTTCAGATTTCTTATTCATAAAATGGAGGTGATAATTCCTGCTTCATTGAATGATGTAAATTAAATGGGAAAATCCAGATAAAATGGCTATCACAAGTGCTCATACTAAGCACTTATAGCACTATTATAAGTTTGATATGTAGAAGTACTGTTTAAAATAGTAAAATTCTAGAAACAGACTCAATCTACCAAAGGATTATATATATTGAAATCCACCATAAGCAGATCTTTTAGTAAAAATATACTAAAATTGTATTTTGGAATGTTATTTGAAGAAAAATTTAGTCTATTGGATATAAAGCTAAATGGGAGCTGGGCCTAATATAATTTTTTATGTATTACTAGTATTGAATGACATTTTAAAATGTTTGGAACAGGTCCTGACATAGTAAGTGCTAAACAGATATTTATACACATGTATTTATACAGTGCTATTATAGATACATTTTCTTGTATTTTCTGTAATAGGCATGTATTAGTTTTTCTAATCAGAAGGAAAAGGTTAGAAAATAAAGAATATTTAACCATGCCATGGTGCTGGAATTATGAGACTTTAATTCTCTGTTTTAATACTTATATTCCCTAAGAAGTTTATGTATCTATAAATTCACATATTTAAGTAAATTCTAAATTCTTCTTACTTTAGAGGTTTGGGGTGGGAGGAAAAGACTCACAGGTGGGCAGAGTTTATATTACTAGACAATTAAAAATTGGCATGGTGTCATCTGAGAAAGTTCCTTGCTCCATGAAAGATATACAGATGGCCAATAGGGCATGAAAAATGGTCAACTTCAGTAGCTATTAGGAAACAGCAGATCAAAACCACACAATGGACACTATTTCATACCAACTATGATTACGAAAATGAAAAAGATAATAGTACTAAGCATTGGTATGAATGAAGAGAAATTGGACTCTTATGCATTGTTGGTTGGAATGTGAAATGGTGCAGGCACTGTGGGAAAGTTTGGCATTTGCTCAAAAAATTAAACTTAGAATTTCCACATATGACCCTGCAGTTCTACTCCTAAGTGTATACCCATGAATCAAAACCATGTGTTCATATGAAAACTTGTACTAGAATGCTAATAGCAGCATTATTCATAATAACCATAAACTAGTAGTGATCCAGTAGTCCATCATCTGAGGAATGGATAATTAAAATGGAGTATTTTTTATTTGACCATAAAAATGAAACAAAATCCTGATACATGCTGTAACATGGATGAGACTTGAAGATATTATGCTAATTGAAAGCAGCCAGATTCAAAAGGTTACCATATGATTCCATTTAATCCAGAATAGGCAGAGATTGGGTGCCATAGATTGTGGGCAAGAGGAATCAGGGAGACTACTAGTAGGTATTAGGGGTTGTTTGGGCCATGATGAAAATATTCTGAAATTAGATAGTGGTGATGGCTGCACAGTTCTAAATATAGTAAAGACTGGTTATTTTTTAACTTCAAAAATTGATTCTGAAATTCACAAAAACAATTAAAACTTCAAGAATAACAGAAATAGTTGAAATAAGGGGAAAACAAGGTACACTATACTGCTATATGTTTTAATGTTTTTAAGGAAAAAAAAGTAACTCAGACAGAGGTACTAATTAAGCCATATACAGATGCAGTAATGAAACAGAATATAAAGCCCAGAAACAAGTACTAATACATAATATATAAATATTTCATTGACAAAAAATATTGAATTTCAGATAATTGTGGAAAGGATTCTTTTTAAAATGTGAGATACTGGTAAGATTAACTTTTTAAAAACTAAGTTGAATTTTAATCTCATTTATCAAGTTACTCTTTTTTTTTTTTAAAGATTTATTTATTTACTTATACAAGCATTGGATAGAGTCAGAATCACGGGAGGGTGAGAGAATTCACCAGAGCCAGAGCAGGGAGCAGAACAGGCAGACTGATGAAGTACACTGCTGAGGGGAGCAGCAGGCATGGCAGGAGAGGTCTGCGCACCATGTGGGACCCTTGCCAGTGGCTGGGGATCAAACAGGCGCTGCAGAGGCTATGGGCAGCTTTGCATCCCAGCACTCAACCGCTGCGCTACCAGGGGAGGCCCCCAAGTTAAACTCTTAAATAAAATCCATACAAAGGAAAGATAAAATTAAAAAAATCATTTGCAGCAGTATATTAATATCTACAATATATATAGAAACATAATATGTGTAATATATAAAGATGTTTTTCAAACCCATAAGAAAATATTACAAAATAGTAAATTATGCAATTCATAAGAGAATAAAGCAAAACAATTCATAAAAAACAGGCAAAATAAGTGAATTAGAAAAATACTTTGCCTTAATGATAATTAAGGAAATGCAAATTAAAATGAAGCATGATTTTCTACTTATTAAATTAATGAAGATTAAAGTCTTGATGAAGATATTAGGAAATAGACATTAATGTGCTCTTCCAATAGGTACATAAATTATACATTTTCAGAAAGGCATTGGACAGCATATATCAAGAACTTTACGCAATTTTGGTCACTGTTCCAGTGGTATACTTCTGGAAATTGCTTCTAAATAAATAAGGTATGCACATACATTTATATATATGTGTTTATAAGAATATTACTTATGCAAGAGTAGAAACAAAATCAGGAAATGGTTAAATTGTGATAATCTTTAAGGTGAAAATTATGCAAAAGTTAAAAATTATGTTACATGCTTATAGGGACATGCTTATAATATAAGTGGAATAAGATTAGTATAAAAGAGTACCCAAAATTTGTGTTAAAAACTGTGGCCATGCATACATGCATAGAAAAAAAGCTGAAAAATTACAAGATTAAGAGTGTATGTGTGTAAAAATGAGCATTTTCAGCAGTCTTGCATTTCTAACCTCTTTCTGCTTAATAGTCCTGCATCTGTAGTTCTTTTATAGCTTATTTATTCACTCAATCATTTTTATATGGAATGTTAGAAAAAAAAATGACATTAAAAAAAGAACAAGTTGACATTTAAAGTATAACATATAAAGGGCATTCTCTCTCACATTAAGTCGGACATTCTCACTTTAATTGTTACCTCAATGGAAAAAAAATTAAAAAAAAAACTGAAATTGGAGGATAAAAAGTAATTGCTATATTTTTTATTTTTAAACAATACCTATATCTATATACTTTTTTATTCTGTTGATAAGAAAATATCCTGAAATTTTTGTTAAAATTTCTGCTCTGGTTTAATATGCCTCATATATCTTAAGGAAAGACATATGGTGGATTTTTTCATTAAAAATATGAGGAAAAAACTTTAAGAAATTAAATTGATTTTGTTGAAATTTAAATTTGTTGAAAACCTTTTGTGTGCTATTTTTGTCTTGTTTTTTAATTTCAAAATTACAATGAATTTCAATATTCATCTGTAGAAGTATCCATTAAGAAGTAATCTAGACTTTTTTCATGTAATATAAATTACTTTTAAGACTTTTAATACTCATTTCAATCTATACTAAAGGTAGACCGAAAGTAAAAAAGCACTGTTGTATTATAACTTAAATTATGCAGTTTAATTCTTCAAATATGATAACATTAATTTTTTTCCAGGTAGTAGTTTATATGCTGCTATTATGCTCCCCTTTTAAATCAAATAAAAAAAATGCTCTTTTCCATTTCTCAGAGACTCACCAGCAATAGCCTCAGCAATAAATTTATATGGCTCTGAATAAAGCCATAGAATTTAATGGAGATATTTAAAACTTTTCACTGATAAAACTTACCCATGCCTACCTGAAAGTAACCTTATCCCTCTGTACTAGTCTCTTCATTCATTAAATTGTTGAGTCGTTCAATCATAAAACACTAGTGTCCACTCTGATGAGAGTAGGGACAGAGTGATGGAAACAATAATTAGGAGTGGGTAAATATCTTGAAGAGCTTGCAGAGTTTAGTGGGAATGTGAAGATGTACAGAAAATTCTGTAATAGATATGGTGGAACACACAAGAACTATGCAGGTTCAGAGAAGGGAAAGATTTCTTCTAGGAAATAAAAGAGACTGAGAAGAGATAGTATCTTGGCACAAGAGAAGGCATTTATTTGCCTGCAATCCTTAAAAAGCAGGTAAAAGACCCTTTCGCGTTTTGCTGTCTGTATTGCTCACTGTTGATGAGTTTGTCTCTTTCCCTTAGCTGGTCTGAAAATTCTCAAATGGAACATGGTAGGCACTTATTGCATCTTTCACTGATCAAAATCCATTTTCATTTACTACCTGTGCAGAATAATTTTCTTAAATGTTACTTTCAGCATTCCTTTTGAAATTCCTTAGTTTGCAGAATTGATAATACAAAGGTTTAAACCAGCATACTACTGCATTTTGTTTCATTTAGTTAAAAAAAACCCATGTATCATTGATGTTAAATGATTTTGACATGAAGAGTGAATCAAACTCATGAACGATTAAAAAATCTTCTTATTCATGCATCATCTTTTTATACTAAGCCCTTAGAATTAAGTAGTAAACAAAACAGATATGGTCTCTGCCCTCTTGGCACTTAACAATGAAGAGCAAATAATACAAGTGTTGTTAAACAGACAGCATAGATTCATTAAATGTAACCTATACCAATAACCTCTGAATTTATGCTGTTTTTCCTTCAACATCAGCATTACTTAAAAATGAATACCCTAATGTTCATTATTTTAGAATTGGTTTTTCTCTATGTACATCAATTGGGATGTGATTATATCCAAGGAAACAATGATATAAATGAGTCTTTAAATCCTGTTTGTGGGGGTGTGTGTGTATATGTACCTTATTACTTTATAAAGGAAAGGTGGGAAAAGCATTGGCTGAGCTTCCAGTAAGTGACAGCACTGTGATGGGCACTGTATACAAAACATTGGTAGGAATGGTATTGTCAAACAAGAAACAAGGCATTGATGGAGAAAGAAAAACCTTTGATAGTTCCTCTTCTCAGGTCTTTTTTTTTTTTTTTTTTTCTTCTTTTTTCTTTTTTCTTTCCATAAGATTCTTCTTGATGAATTATCTTCTACTAAACACTGGGCATCTATGCACGTTTCAGACCACAGTGGATTTCACTACCGTCAGTTTTTGTTAAAGTCTTTGATTAGCCAAACTGTGATAGATGGTTCTGTATTGGAGCAAAACCTTTTGAGAAGTGAGCCAGTGCTAGTTCTTCCTAAAGATGAAGCAGCAGCAGCTTCAACAGAAGAACCAAGGATAAATCTTCCCCATCTTCTAGAAGAAGAAGTTGAATTCACAACTGATCTTATTGATTCCTATCCAGGACATGAAACCCTTTGGTGTCATAGGTAAGAGAAAGGAAAATCCATTTCCTGCGTGAAACTGTGCATATTCTTATGAGAATTGCAGAAGGCATTATATCTTACTTCTATTGCTTGGGTAAATATGCTAATCTGATTGTGGACCTTTGCTGAGTGAGTTTGGAAGAGTTTGTGTTACTACAGCTTCCTCCTCACAATCACACAGATTTTTACCTACAGTATAGGATAGTCATATCCAATCTTGTTGGCATAACAGAATAACTTGTATTACTTCCAAACTAAAAACAAAAGTTTCTGGACTGAGATCCTGATATTTAGTATTTCTGGTATAGAGCAGTGCCATATGTTTGTGATTTTTTTTTTAAAGATTTATTTATTTATACAAAAACTGGGGTACAGGCCAGAGGCGCGGGAGGGTGAGAAGATTCACCAGAGACAGAGCAGGGAACAGAACAGGCGGACTGACGAAATACACTGCTGAGGGGAGCAGCGGGCGAGACAGGAGAGGTCTGCTTCGCCATGTGGGATTCTCGTCTCCCGGCCAGGATCAAACCTGTGCTGCAGAGGCTACAGACAGCTTCACAGTGCGGTGCTCAACTGCCTGGGCCACCAGGGAGGCCCTGAAAATTTTTTTTTTTTTTTTTTTTAAAGCAAAGGGAAAATCTCAACAGATAAATCTGATACAGTTAGGTTTGGGACCACTGATTAGACTATAAGAAATAATTCTTACTGTTCTTCCAATTGTTACTGCCTGCAAATTAACTTATTTTACATATAATCTCTTGATACTTTCAGTATACTTTGGGAGTGGAGGTTTGGTAGGAAGGGTGAAAGAGGATTAGTATCCTCATAATAAAATAACTTTTGAGGGCCTCCCTGGTGGCGCAGGGGGTTAAGCACAGCACTGTGGAGCTATCCACAGCCTCGGCAGCATGAGTTCGATCCCTGGCCGGCCAGGGAGCTATCCACATGGTGCAGCAGACCTCTTCTGTCTCACCCGCTGCTCCCCTCAGCAGTGTATTTCAGTGGATCTGCCTGTTCTGCTCCCCACTTTCTCTGGTGAATCCTCTCACCCCCTGCACCTCTGGCCTATACCCCAGCTCTTGTGTGCATAAATAAATAAATCTTTAAAAATAAATAACTTTCATGTGGGGATGAAGTCCTAGTATGGGGATCCCCTTGATTGGCTTATTTTCAATCATCATCTGGCTGGAGTAATCTTCATTAATGTAAATGCAGACTGTATCTCAGGTGCTAGAATTCTGTTTATAGAGAAAAGTCTTATCTGTGCTAGGGAGGAAGAAGGCTTTTAAGTTACTAAGATGTGTCCCCCTTCGACTCTAGTCTTTCTTGTAGGCTGTTTAAGGAAATCTGTTCAGTTACTGTTCTGTGCCAAATATATTTAGAAGATGGAAGATAATCATCCCTCTTTAACACCTTAATAATTTTCTTTTTCTCTTAAAAATAAGGCAAGTTTATCCCACATTTTCAAGAGAGGAGCTAAATCTTACATGCTGTTTTGTTGTGATATTACAGATTTTTGTTATTTATATTTAAGCATATTAATAGCAAGACTCAGATAATCTAAAGGGTTATATTTGTGTTTAACAGCTAGATTAATGGAGCAGAAACTTTCTTTGTACATATAGAGATTAATTGGAGTTTGGACTGTGAGGAGTGAAAAGAGACAATTGGGATGACAAATATTATACAGGCCAGTTTTCTCATGCTGATTGATTACCCTTAGTCAGTGTATCTATCCTTTAAGTTTCATCCTCTATAAAGTGGATGCATTATATATTTCCTGTCTACTCCAGACTCTGCTGGGAAAATGTATAAAATTATTTTTTAAGGGTTTGCTTAAAATAGGAGTGATAAGATTCACTTTCCTAGAACCTTTGTAGTTCTTATTGTGTACAGTTGATGTTCACCCCTGTGAGTCAAAAATTTTGGAGATTAAGCATAAGATTTTTTATTTTTCATAAAATAACTCCAGATGATTCTAAGGGCAGGAGAACTGATCTCCTTAGAGGAAGAACAGGAACTGTGTCTTTTAATTTTTTTGCTTAGCCCAGCCTATCCCTACTATATGTGGATGCTTAATGAAAGTGTAGTGATGAATTTAGGAGTAAGTTCAGTTGGTTTCTGGATAATACCAACTACAGCAGATCAGCTCTTATTAAAGATAGTATTGGGCAGAGGCAATAAATTAAGCCTCTGAAGGTGCCATTTAATTACTCTTGTTTTTGATTTACTGCCTTTTAGGCTATCAGTAAGGTTAACTTTTGGTTTGATTTTGTATTTTAATTTATGGCAGAGATTGAACTAAGTTACCTATTTCTAGTTTCATATTGTAGTCAAAAAGTAACTCAAAGTGATTGTCATCATCTCAGTCAATGCTATTGAAAACCTTGTTTGGGGGCAGAGTTCAGGTATAGTAATCTGTCTCACAAGTAACAGGTAAGTTTGGACTGAAAAGGCCCAGCCAAATGCCTAGAGACCTTGTTACAACTATCCTTCCTCTTTTCCCCCTTATAACTCTGGGTTACAAAGTGAGCAATCAACTTAGTGCTGTATGTCTTGAAATTACCGACTTATTTTGCTTTTTTCCCCTGAAAACCTGAAATTTGTGATGTAATTTTTCCTTTCTCTATTTTCTCCCTCCTCCTCCTCTTTCATAGGCGACATATTTTCTACCTTCAGCATCACTTGAATGGTAGATTTTCTCACAGTGTGACCCAGTTGTCACCTGCAGACAGCTCTGGGGGGACCTTGAGTGACTTGCACCTCATCACAGAGGGCCCTCACACTTCTCAGGCAATGGAAGTGGATGGACTAAGTGACTCTAGCAAGCAGGGCTATTCCCAGGAAACCAAACGCCTGAAGCGGACCCCAGCTCCAGACTCCCTAGGCCTGGAAATGGAGCACAGGTTCATCGATCAAGTATTGTCCACCTGCCGGAACGTAGAGCAAGCCAGGTTTGCCAATGCATACAGGAAATGGCTTGTTACACTGAGTCAGTGAAAGAGGTGGATTAGTCTTGTAAGGTTCCTCTTTTAGTGCAATATTGCTTTCTTTCTTATTTACATAGTTGCATGAACTGTTTGCTATTATTGGCTAACTATATATGTTTTTCATCTTTAGGTTAAAAGTCCATGGTAAATCTTTCATTTTATTTATTTTGTTTAGAACTGGCATTCCTTTGGGGATAAAATAATTGTGTCATTTCTTCCTGCTGAACAGTGAGTCTTAATGTTTTTAATTTTAACCTCTCATCCTTTATATTTTCATATATGAGACTTCTCATTTGGTTCTTCTAACTGGTTCACATGCACTTCCACCACTGCAATTGCTGCATAGGCTCATTTCTTAAAATTAAAATTTTACATTGTAGTTCAGCTTAAGAACAATACAAATGTAAAATTACTTGATCTGATTGTTGTTTTGAGGCTCAAATGGCAATATGGATGGATAATGTGAAAATGCAAACCATTTCTTTTTCTCTAGCATGTTCTACTCAAGTTATAGACCAACATAACCAAAGTCAGAAGTATTGGAATTTTTATGAATAACATGGTTCCAATTTAACCCATTTTTAAAATAGTTACTTTTTAACTAATTTTAAGAGTTTATGTAATAGCAGTGCTGGAAATTTATTTTTATTACTAGTTTTGATAGTTTTTACCTCAAATTTGGTATATGCCAGAGACAAAGTCAGTCCTTGTAAAAATACAAAAAAAAATTTAAAACCTGAAATGCGATTTTTAATTATTACTACTTATTTTCCTTCCAAATTCACCATGAAAAGTGGGAGAAATATGCGTAGAAATATATACATGAAAGTTTTCATTCTAAAAAATTTAAGTTATCGAGTCAAAAATGTTATGAAGTGATTATTAAAGTTTACTGGCAAAAGCCAGGGAAAGAATAGTTTTGAAGGGTCACTCTTCATATTTAGAAATAAAGCAATTTAAAAAATTTTAGCACTAAACTTATCAGGGATGCCGTACCAAAGTATCCACCTTATAGCTGTATCTTTTCAGTAACAAATGCAGGGGTTTTTTTGGATGGTGGGCAGGGGTGGGGAAAGAGCCAGATAAGTCTGCTTTCTCAATATATTTCCTTCTTTGTGAATGATTTGTTTCTTTTCCCACATACCATTCCCTTTATTTTACCAATCATTCCATATTTTTGTCACTTTCACTTTTGCATATTTTTTCCTGACTTATTTTCAGGAAGGTGTAGTGAAGACATTCTCCCTATTTCCAGTGACTTTCATACCCCATTAAACACACACACACAAAATGTAACTGTGAACTGCTCCTCTGTAATTTCCGCTAATGATGGAAGCTGTTGTCAGAGATGTGTGTGAATTGTGAGTAATAGTGACAGAAATAAGTATGACCACAATGCATTGCTCTTTCTCCTTTCTATTTGCGAAGTCACATGTGTGGTGAGGAGACAGATGTGAGGAAAGGCAGGCCTCTCCTCACTTTTATGGAACCCTGAACTTGAGTTAGGTACATTACCTTAAGTGAAAAGAACAGGCCCTTAACTTGTATGTCATGATTTTGTTGAACTGCCCAGTGAGACATAAAAATACCAGAATATTTGTCAAGTTTGTTCCCTGTAGACTTAACTGTTCTTCTCTTTGGGGGTAAAATAAAATTACTTTTTTATACTTTTATACTATTTAGGTAAGAAAATAATTACCATTATGAACATAATTCCATGACTCTTTATGTACAACACATCTTTTAAATCAAATACCTCAAGGTCTATCTCTAGACCTCTGTGGATAAAACCATTATAGTTTGATTTTCAGCACCTGCAGAAGTTGGGGTGCAGGGGTCTGAGGTATAAGGTGGGGTATGTGTAACTACATAGAGATGACATGGAAGATTCTGCCCATTCTGCTAATACATGTTGCCAAATTCTGGCTTCAATCAGTATTACCTTTTTTCCCAAGCATAGTTTTAAATATCCCAAATAATATGGTGTCTTATACTTCGAGGTGAGAATATCAGGACATGACTATAGACAATACCCTGTGAAATGCAGCTAAATTTTATAGTACTCTCAACCTTTTTATACCTTCCACAGGATATCTTGCCCATCTTTGAAGTTAACTCTCTTCATGTGCTTTAAGGCTCTTAGCCCACCCCTTTATGAAGCCATGCGGTCCTTTAATATATCTTGGTCACTTGTCTTCCTAATAAGTTACAGATTTATTACAGGGAGTGGAAATACAAATATCCAAAAGATAATGTTTGTTATATGACTTTGTGTGCTACTTTATTTCTGAAATTTGCATCTTTCAAGTGTACATTCAAAGAAAAGCCTGTTGTCACGTATTTTCCTAAAGAGATTGACATCTAAACTAACTAGCTATAACATCAAGATACTCTCTCTTTGACTGAATGAGCTCATGCAGTTGGAAAGAATAAGTCTATTTTCAGGGACTTGTTAGTCTGCAGTTACCTTTCTATAAATACATTGTTGTAAAAGGAAAAGGTAGTTTAGATTGAAACATTTCATCAGACTTTCACTGGAAGGATAAAAGGCTGTCCTACCATCCTGTGGATCAAGAATACTACTGACAAGCAATTAAGATCTGTAAATATCTCCACCCCACTGTACCTTCTTTTTTTTTAAAGTATACCTATTTTGATAATGTGGTGTTCTCAGATTCTTCTCTGAGCCTTGCATATTGTGAGGACTCATATTTATTAAATTAATGAATGATTAACTGAAAAATGGAAAAATTGATCATGAGTGATGGATAGAATGAGTTATGATTGAGGAATGAATTCATTAGAACAATGGATTGTGAATGAATGATGTATTCTAGTTTCATGATACTTCAGGGGAGGTATTAGATAATAGAATAAGTTAATTTAGATATTTTTCTTCCTTTCACTATTATGTTTAAAATCTGTTAAATTCCAGCCAATAAATGCAGCTCTATAATTATCAGTGAACCGTACTCTAATCTATATTAAAAATTCATAGAATTAGTGAAGTTCATCTGCATTAAGAACACTACTTTCCGTTCATGTGTGGTATTGCAGGACATACCTTACCAACGGAGTTAGAGCCATGTTTGGGCACCTGAAAAATGCTTTGATTTCAAAGACTTGTTGATCTGTGCCTGAGCATGGATAGTCTGTTTATGCTTCTTTTTCCCTCCTCAGCCTGAACCATGGGCCTTTTAGGTATTTCTTAAACTTATGAAAGTCATATTTTAAACCTAAGGATTTGACACCTATTCATGTCCCCTTGTTCTTTTCTAGGTTTTAGCATTTAATATCCCTTTGGAAACTCTAGGCTCAGACCTGTGGTCATATTTCTTATTTGGCCATATTCTTATTTGGTCATATTTCTTATTCCTATGGTGCAGTTTTAATTTAAGACTCTGTTATTTGTAGGAGTAAATGTATTCAGGTTGTCACTAAAAGCCACTTAAATCTTCAGATGAGAGCTTATGTGACACAAGGTGTAGGAACAAAAGTTCTTGGATTTTTATGTGGTGGTAGACTTTGTCATTCAGATATATTCAGGTCATGTCAGTTCATACTTGTTGAGACACCGGTAGGTATATGTGTGTGTGTGCAAAGAGAACTTTTAATATATATTGATGAGAGCAAATTGTCAGTCTTGTAATTTTCTCTTACATAGCACAAGATTATATCTGACACAGGAGCTAAATAACATTCAGGAGTGTAACTGCCACTTACTGTACAACAGTTTAATCTTTATCCTAGCTCCCTTGAAAAGGATGATATTAGAGATTTAGTTATAAAAGAAGGTAACATATAATCTTTTTTCTTATGGCAAAAAACTTTTGTAAGCTTATAGTTATTTTTGTTACTAGAAAATTATATTTTAAAACTTTCAGGTATGCTAGAAGTTATGAACAGCATTATAACATTGAACCTTTTGCTTTGGAATACCTTTCTCAAATACAGAGCTTTGCAAATCCTTGTACTTTACATGCTGCTGCCTCCCCATGCCGGGGTATACTCTGTAATGTGCTCCTGTTTAATGAAGACATGTGGAGGTACAGGAAAGTTTAGACAACGTCAGTGTCATAAAAGCAGTAAGAATTCTACTTACCATCACACAGTGTCTTTCAAAAAAATAATTATACTGTGTTAATTTGAGTGCCTTTCTTAGATTTTTAGAGAGCAAGATTAGATTTAAGTCTAATATTTAGGTAGAAAGCAGAGACTGGCATCAAACGGTTCATCGTGACTCATTTTTTTTTAAGATTTATTTATGCATACAAGAACTGGGGTACAGGCCAGAGGTGCGGGGGAGGGGGGCAGAACAGGCAGGTTGACTGAAATACACTGCTGAGGGGAACAGTGGGGGAGCCAGGATGGAACCCATGACTCAGTGGCTGTTGACAGCTTGATAGTGCTGAGACTTAAGCCCTGAGCCACCAAGGAGGCCCCTCATTTTATTTGTTACATTTACTAGGCATGGTCCCATGGAATATTTTATCTTTTAGTAAAATACTGAACAGCAGGATATTTTGATTTGCATTTCATTGATTAGCATTTTAAGTCCCCTGACAAGAATGTATTCTTTCTCTGTGACAATTTTTTGAGATTTGCAGCATCACATGTAAGTAATTAAAGATCAGCCAGAAACCTGTAATAGCCTGTATTCAAAGAGAAACACTGGCACAGTGCCCTGAAAGACAAGCCAGATTGTTGACCTCAATGAGTCCTTTGCCTCAATTTAAGAATTCCCTCCCAAATTCAGATCTACATACAATAATTGCAAACAGAGAAAGGTGGGACTATTATCCTTTTAAATATTAGAGGAAAAGAAGGAAATACTGAGATGAAATTTAAACTGGCATTTTAGGTTTTGGGGTCTAGACAAGGAGAGATAGGAATTCCATATTTCAAGATAGCATATAATTTTTAATTGTAACTTAATAAAAATATATAGTTAAAGATTCCAAAGTGCTTTTCAGAAAACTGTTGAATAATATATTCCTAAATGGCAGCAATATGTTATGTTCATTGTATAGACCGAAAGCCATTGTGTTAGTTGTGGATCTGGGATGGCAGGAAACTTCAGGTTCCCAACTTTGAATTGTGTATTCTCACTAGGCCATGTTAACACTGTAAAACCAAACTCCATGCTAAAAAGTTAAAAAGTAGTAGCTTAGTTGGCTGATGAAACCTTGTGCTTCCAAGAATATTAGCTGGATATAGTTTGTGCTTTCTGGACAAATATATGGTCCACAAAGCTAACCCTGTCATTTCTTTCACTAGTCTATTATTCCTCAGGGTGTAGAAGATTTAGTAAATTTAGAACAAAATTTTATATTCAGTGGCAAAAAATGAAAAGGCCAAATAATGCTAAATATATTACTAGCTCTTAAAATTTTAGTATAGATAGTATTTTTATAAACCACTCCCTGTGTAGTAGCTTATAGATGCCCCACGACTGCCTCATCTCACTGCTTCAACCCCTGTGGCTCTAGATGAATGTTCTTTTACATATTATCTGCTATGGGAACAATTTTGGTATTTTCCATATTTGTCAGGGGGGGTGTTTTAATTGACCACTCTTAAATTTTGGAGTTCCTCTTGAGAAAAATGATTACTGTTGGTTTTCAAATTGACAACTACTTCTTAAAACATCAGTTACCCTGAAAGAGTATTTTATATACAGGTCCCATACATGTTCAGTACATACATGATACTTGCACCTTGTGGGAATTCAACAGGTCAGAATTGTTAAAGGCCAGAAACTTAAAAGTAGTTTATCTCATTCTTACCCCATTTTTCACATTCTTAGCTTCGGGAGAAATGTAGAAGTGTGCATAAAATATATGATCAGGTTGAAATGTACAAGGAAAGATAACTATACAACATTGTAAATGAATTTTATACATTTTTAAGGCAGATATATGTATATGTAAACACATATATGTGTGTATATACAGTCAAATGAGGTTAGTTCTTGAACTAATATAGTGGTTTTACAAAGAATTTCATCCAAAGAATTTTTATTTCATATTTGTTTAAAAGTGCTCCTATGTAAGGTAGCTTTCTTTATTAGACCAACCCTCTCAACAAAGTTGGAAAGCTAAGTGCCCATTTTTCCTGAATTAATCAGATACTTGTCTAAATTGTTTATCTTAAGTCTTAGGTTGCTTATGAACCATGACATTCTGACTTTTCTTCCATACCTTTAGGAAATCAGCCTTAATTGTATGTATGGCAATCACTTTCCTCAAAGTACTATGCAGCACTTTGTTTATATGTTTATTTTTCTTTGTAAAGTGATTGATTTTTTTAATGTCGGGGATGAACAATTTCACATGTCCAGATGTTGATTTATACAGCAATCTGTTAGAAATGCTCATATATTATAATCTTTCACAATTGTCATCTTGCATTTGGAGCAGTTACTTTTTTCTTACTGGTTAAAGAATGAGTTTAGATTAAGCGCAGTCATAGTGGGTGCTTAATAAATAGTTATTGGTCTAATATCAGACAGCCCTTTCAAAAGACTGTTGTCATCTTTTCACTGAGGAGAATATTTCAGAGTAATATATGTTTGAATGAGAATTTGTATTATTTGACATGAATTATTAGGTTGGAATTTGCTAATTCCATAATAAAAATGTTGATGTAGAACATAGCCTAAAGATAGGAGTATGAAAAGTTTAAGTAGTATCTGTTTGTGCTAGGCACATTAATAAATGTGATTAAATGTCTTAATAGGCTGCTGAACTTTAGAGAAAACTATTTTAGTCTTTTACAATCAGTTACTGTGTTGGTATATTTGGTATAATCTGGTTTAGATTCTATTTCTCCCTAAATCTTGGTTGCTTTCCAGTGTCTTGAAAGTGGTAATGGTACAATAGGAAATTATATTTAAATAAGTTATTTTCTGAGAACATCTTTGAAGTGAGGGAGAAATTTTTATGAATGATACAGTAGTTTTAGAATCTGTTAATTTGTGGCTTTTAGAGCATTTTTGACAGTTTCCCTAATGCAAACATTTAAATTGTTAACGCATTCCAACTTCAGCCTTGATGAATAGTGTATAGTACAAGTATAACTAGGCACTGCCTCCTGACCAGGTCAGTACATGCCTGCAGAGCTAGCTTGTGATTAAGATAACCACTGTCAGTGTTGTATATTGGTGTATGTTGTTCCTGGGAGAATAATGGGATGTATACTAGATTAACTTGTTTTTGAGTTGGACAAAATAAAATGTGAGGTATTATATGTATGCCAAATATTAATCAATTCTACAAAAACAAAAAAGGAGAAAGAAAATGATAAAAGGTAAATTTTTTTTCTAGCACCTAAAAAATTTTTTTTAAATCCAAGTCTCTTGAACACTAAACAGTTGCTTACTTTAACATCAAAGGACTTTAATTAAAGGGATAGTTCCCAGATAATATAGTCTGCTCTTCGAATTCTCCATGTATGTAAATTTTACATTGCTTAAAGATTTTCCAAAAATGGAGTATTTAAATAAGTTTCAGAGTTGTTTTAATATTTCCTTATAGGTTATGTTTAAATGGACAAGTTACATATATGATCTTGGTGCAAGGTCAGATCCTGGGCATTAAAGATAAGTTAGACTAACTTATTTTACTGAAGAAACTACCTGTCTTCACTCTGACCTCACCATTGTTTTTCTTAAACTACTTTCCCTCCATGTAAGTCTGTGTTGAACTTCCTTTATCTCTCACCATATACTAATTGATATTTTTAAGGGTAAATATTTCGTGAGTTCTTTTTACACTTAACAATGTATACCTTGCAGAGGGATAAAAATTAATTTTGCAAAAGGTATATACAGTGTGTGCTTATGGTTTCCTGGGAGTTAGTATTCCAGAGTGCCTAATGTATGACGCTAAATTCTAAAGCTAATATAATGACTATAGATTACTATATTGGTCTGTCCAGTAGAAATAAATATGAGTCACATATGTAGTTTAAATTCTAGTAGCCACATTAAGAAACAGTTGGAATTAATTTTAATAATATATATTATTTAACCCAATATATTAAAAACATTTTAGCATATAATCGGTATACAAAAATTATTATTTTACTGTCTTTTTTTCCTGTAATATGTCTTTAGATTTCAGTATGTATTTTATACTCACAGTACATCTCAATTCTGACTAGCTGCATTTCAATTGCCACGTGTGGCTAAGAGCTACTGTATTGGATAATACAGATTTATAGGGTACAAAGTATGACTTCATTTTAAATTAGGAGATTGTGAAGTTAGGCGTGAAATTATGGTACTTTAAAAATTATTTATTATACTTTTTAAAAGTATCTAATACAATTACCCACTCCTTTGCCTTTCTCTTCATTTTAAATTTGCTCTACAAGCAGGCTCAACTGGTTCCAATTTGCCAAGCATTATTTAAGAAGGAAGAAATTCCATGCCATGTAAACTATCATGATATGCTGATTTAACAACACATTATTAACAACACATGTTTCAATGTGTTCACTAAATTGTCCTTTTTCTTCAAAATAATATTTCAAATTGCATGTTAATTGTATATCTGTACTTATTTTGTTTTTATAATATTTTTATATATAATAATGTGTATTAACAAACAGCCCTAGGATTCTACTCTTCCTATACATACAGCTGTCTTCAAGTACTTAATGGTACAGTTATTGTGATAAGTGACAGAAAAGTAGAATGAACCATTCTTTTTTTCCATTCAATTTACTTTATCATGTGACCATGTAGTAAGCGAGACATAAATTATTAGATTCTGTAGAATATGGAAAATAGTGTTTGTATGTCTTATCTTTGCTAATTGTTTGCTATTTCTTAGTAAACTTTTCATCTCCTAAAATGAATATTAAAGTGTGGTTTTATTTTTGTTAGTAGTGGTGTTTCAACTCAGCTCCAGACAACCAACCTATCCTGTTTATTTTCTGTGGTTGTAATAGTGGGATAAAAGTGTGAGCTGTTATCTAAGTGAAGCTAATGATTTGATTACCTACTGTTGTGGAAATAATACAAAATGTTACTTGTGTAAATGAAAACGTCAGAAACAAATTAGAAAAATTGTCCTTAGAGTGCATTAACAATGACTAATTGACTTATGAAAGTATTTGCGACTAGATAAGCTTTTTTATATATATATTATAAATTAAGGTATAGAACAGGTAATTTCTCAGTTATTTCATTGTTACATCCCATGTGTTCTTAATCCTGAGTCTCTCTCCTATATGTTGTAAGCCAAATATACTATTCACAGTTATTTAAATGGTATAGACTCTGAAAAGTATTTGATGAAGTGGGCACCTTTTATACTCAGATTTTATGTCCCATAACTATTTAGGATATTTTAAATAATGCACTACTACTGTCTATGCCTATTGGTAGGACACAGGATATTGAATTTATTTTGCATCATGTGCAAAGTACCACAGTGTTTAAAACCAGTGTTGTTTTGCTTTGACATGCTAAGGAAGAGAACTAGCTACTAAGGTAGTTTTGATTTGAATTAGTAAGCAGATTATATAAGTTTGACAACAATATTAGCTAAGCGCTTTCCTGAGAAATTGCTTAATGGGATGCTTCTTGAAAGATTAATAACAACAGAGGCAGGATGACATACTATCAAATTAAAGTTTTCAAATATGATGAACTTTTCATTGTTTGCCTACATTTAGCAAGTAACACTTTCCTCATGTTGAAAACTCACATTTTTAATTTTACTGCTCTTTTTTTCCTTTTAAAAGAGAAGCAATGATATTTTAAAATCTTTGGCTCATGCCTCCTCATTTTTTCTTATGAAGAAGTATAATATTATTATATGTCCTGTATAATAGAAGTCAAAAATAGAAGCATTAATTTCCATAGTATTTTTTCTTTCACAGAAAGTTTCTTAGAGAAGTCCTGGATGCCAGGGAGAATTCCCTTACTGCTCCTTAATTTATATGAACAACAGTCTGATAATACTTTTGAATTCACACTTTGAGTATCAGAATCTTCTCATGATATACAAATCTTATTAGATTCCTCATTTACCTTTCACAATAATTATAGCATGATTGATGAAAAGTCTGCTTTCTGTATAGGACAACTAACTACAGGTTGAAATGACTCTCCATATTATTTTTTGTATCCTCATATTTCTTAAATTGCTATTGGCCTCCGTAGACATAATGTTGAGAGAATACTTGAAAGTTAGTAAATAAATGCGATCGGTGCAATGTCAACAGCCCATTTCTTCTATTTTCAAGGAAATTTTGAGTTACCATCCACTAAGTTTCCCTGAGTGAAAGAAAAGAAAAAAGAAATTTTCTGATAAGGGCATAGCCATAAGCCCCACCCCACAGCTTTCCAATTTTAGGGTTTTGGTCTGACACCTGGCTTTATAACTCTATCCTCCGTGTTGTAGATTGCCCTCCTTTTATGGCCTTTCTGACTCCCTCATCCTTTTTTCCTTCACATTATGAATAAATCCCCAGCCTGGGGAGGTGCTCTCATCCATGTCTGACCAGTAGCTCACCCAGACTTTCAACCACTGAGTCCAGGCTCCTTCTCTAATGTATCCATGTCTTTTTAGTGCCTTCCTTCATCACTGGTACTTTTATATCCTCCTTCCTTTCTTATGGGGACATGATTTTCTCTCTTTAGTTGATAAGTTGGCTCTGGTCTTTAATTCAAGATTCAAATCTGTCTTAAGTTTAAAACTATAGAAGGAGGGCCTCCCCGGTGGTGCAGCGGGTTGTGCATCCCCCTGTGAAGCTGTCCGCAGCCTCTGCAGTGTGGGTTCCATCCTGGCCTGCCAGCAAGAATCCAACATGGTGCAGCAGGCCTCTCCTGTTGTGCCTGCTGCTCCCCTCAGCAGTGTATTTCTGTCATCTGCCTGTTCTGCTCCCTGCTCTGTCTCTGATGAATCCTTTCACCCTTTCGCACCTCTGGCCTGTACCTCAGCTCTTGTATAAAAATAAAATAAGTCTTTAAAAAAAAAAAAAAAAAACCTCTAGGGCCTCCCCATTGGCGCAGCGGTTGAGCGCTGGGTTGCGAAGCTGCCCGCAGCCTTTGCAGTCCTGGTTCGATCCCCGGCTGCTCCCCGGCCACCAGAGGAGGGTCCCACATGGCACGCAGACCTCTCCTGCCGCCCGCTGCACCCCTCAGCAGTGTACTTCGGTCCTTCTGCCTGCTCTGCTCCCCTCTCTGGCTCTGGTGAATTCTCTCACCCTCCCGCGCTTCTGACTGTACCCAGTGCTTGTATAAACAAAACAAACAAACAAATAAACAAATAAATAAATAAAACATGCCTCTATAAAAAAAAAAAAAAAAAACTCTAGAAGGACAGAAACAATTCCTGTTAGAAAACCTGGACACTGAGGGCCTCCCTGATGGCGCAGTGGTTGAGCGCTGGGTTGCGAAGCTGCCCGCAGCCTCTGCAGCACTGGTTCGATCCCCAGCCAGTTCGATCCCCAGCCACCAGGCGAGGGTCCCACATGCATGCAGACCTTTGCTGCCACCCGCTGCTCCCCTCAGTAGTGTATCGTCAGTCTGACTGTACCCAGTGCTTGTATAAATAAATACATAAATCTTAAAAAAAAAAAAAAAAAAGAAAGAAAACCTGGACCCTGAAGTGGCAGGTTCTTATAATTCAGTCTTAGAAATCATTTTATCAGATGCCACAGGGTCTATGTGCTACCTGTTATTAAGATCAAACATGGGCTCAATGTAAATTTTATCTGGTGTTAGCCTGTTAACAACCTCCCTATCACCAGAGAAGAGAGAATTAAAAGGAGCAGTTAGCGAGTAAAGGCTTGGGATGCCTGGGCCAATGGGCGTCCCTCCTCAAGTGGGATCACCCACAATATAAGACTACTCCCCTGGAGGGTATTCCTATGGCTATGTTACAGTGCAATCTCTATGAAAGGGGGCAGCTCCAGGTTCCTCTCCCTACCTAATGAAAGGTGGTGCTGAGTGACCCAGGAGAGGCTGGGATAAAGACTTGGAAAAGATAAAGAGGAAGACTTGGAGGAGACACATGGAGCAAAGAAACATATGAACAAGTCACACTTTTTCTCAGCTTTCACACTTCTCAGCTTTGGACTTGCAAAAGGACTTGGGGGATATGGAAGGAGACACAAGGAGAAAGGCGTAGAGACACCTGGAAGAGACCTGGGTGAGAAACCTATGGGTTTCTCACTGACAGTGGCAGCCATTATCTTGATTTGTACTTTGATTTTGCTCCTTTCATTCCAGACTTGCTTGGCCCCTTTTTCCCTTTTCCTGTGGTTCCCCATAAGAAGGTGTTTTTGTGGCCCCACTTTGGGCCAATCATGTTTGGGCATTTACCTGCAAAATGATGGGTATTTGGGTGTTTCATTTGGGAAACTATCCTTTCTTCTCTCTCTATGCATACTAATCATATTAAAATTCTTTTCTATTAAAGGTGTCTTACACACATACACAAAGAAAATCTTATTTACAGTAGCATCAAAAAAGTAATACCTAAGAATAATCCTAACAAAGGAGGAGGTGGAAAACTTATTCAATGAAAACTATAAGACATTGCTAAAAGAAATAAAAAGATACACAAGGAAAGATAGTCAATGCTCATGGATTAGAAGAATTATCATTGCTCTAAAGTCCTGCTTGTCTAAATCAACATATAAGTTCAATGCAATCCCTATCAAAGTTTCAATGGAATTCATTAAAGAAATAAACATTACTAAAATTTACATGGAACCACAAAGGACCCCAAATACACTGTTGGTAGGAATGTAGGCTGTTCTAATCCCTGTGGAAAACAATATGGTAGTTCCTCAAAATATTAATAGTAGCTATACCTTTATCTTATGACCAAACAATTCCAGTCCTAGGTATCTACCCAGAGGATGCAAAAGCACTAATTCAGGGGGATATTTGTACTCCTTTATTTGTTGCATTACTGTTTACAATAGCCAAGTTATGAAAACAGCCTAAGTGCCCAACAATAGAGGAATGGGTTAAGAATGTGGCATATATATGCAATGGACTACTACTCAGCTATGAAAAAAGAGAAACTCTTGCCTTTTGCAACAGCATGGATGGAACTGGAGGGGATTATGGTAAGTGACAAAAGTCAGAAGGAGAAAGCTAGGTACTAGGTAATTTCACTCGTGGAATGCATAGAAACAAAAAGGAACTGAAAAACTAAACCAAAAGAAACCCTAAAATTATGACTTAAGGTTTGAGGCTACTGAAGTGGGAAGGAAGATTGGGATTGAGAACAAAAGGAGGACGGGGCCCAATGGTCTATGGTAAAGGACTATGGATGGGTGTGGTGTGGCAACATACATCTGTGGTGGTGTGAACCTGTGCCCCTAAATCATTCAAGGTTACAAACCAATTTCACCTTAATAAAAAAAGTAGAGTTGACAGTTACCAATTTTAAAATTTCCTACAAAGATTGTGTAATCTTAAATTAACAATTTAATTGTGTAATCTTAAATTATATAATCTTAAATCTTAAATAATCTTAAATCTTAACAATTTAATTGTGTAATCTTAAATTAACAATTTAAGATTGTGGCATTGGCATAAGGACAGACATACTAGTCAATGGAATAGTATTGAGAGTCCATGGGAAAAATCCATATATGTGTGGTCTATTTTTTGACAAAATTTTTGACTCAATGGACAAAATTTGACCTTTTTGACAAATGATTTGGGGGCAATTAAATACCAACATGGATGCCGTTTTGGAGCCCTATCTCACGCCATACACAAAAATTAAAAAGGATTAAAGGCTGAATGTAAGAGATAATATAAAACTTTCAAGAGAAAGAGTAAATGTAAATCTTTGTGACTTTGCATTAGACAATGATTTAGTTATGACATAAAAAATACAAGTATCGGGCCTCCCTGGTGGCACAGTGGGTTGAGCGCTGCGCTGTGAAGCTGTCTGCAGCCTGTGCAGTGCAGATTCGATCCCTCGCTGGCCAGGGAGAAACCCACATGGTGTAGCAGATCTCTCCTGTCTTGCCCGCTGCTCCCCCTCAGCAGTGTCTTCGGTCCTTCTGCCTGTTCTGCTCCCTGCTCGCTCTGGTGAATTCTCTCACCCTCCCGTGACTCTGACATGTACCCCAGTTCTTGTATAAATAAATCTTAAAAAAAAAAACTCCATCTTTAGGAAAAAAAGTATCCAAAAATAAACGGAGCTTCATCAAAATTAACAATGTTTGTATTTTAAAGGACACTATCAAGAAAGTCAAAAGAACGCACATAAAATTAGAGAAAATAGTTACAAATCAAATTTGATACACGATTATCTCCAGAATAGGCAAAGAACCTATTCAGCTTTAAAAAGCAAATGACCTAACTAAGTAATGGGCAAATAATTGGAACATTTCTCCATAGAAATAGAAAATGTCCAATAAGTACATGAAAAGATGTTCAATATCATTAGTCCTTAGGAAACATAAATCAAAGCCACACTGAAATACAATTTCACATTCACTTAGAAAACTATTATGAAAAATATGTTAGCAAGTGTGTGGAATTATGAGAGACTAATCTATTTAATCTTCTTTATGATACTTAGATTTTTAAAAGTGTATTTAGATAATTTTTAAGTATTCTTATTTTTGAGGGTGTGGGAGGATTCACAGTTAAGCAGACTTTATCACTAACCAATTAAAAGCATATATGGCATATCACCCGAAAAAGCACATAGGGTTATTTTTCTAAATATTGAAATAAGATGAACCTTGAGACCAGATAAATAGGTCACAAATTGAAAATATAACTAAATAGGAATAAATACTTCTTGGGATTATTGCTTAAATCTGCACCAAAGTAGATACAACTATATATATAAATATATATATATATATATATTTATATATATATATACACAACTATATATTATTTATATATATATATATATATATATATATATATATACCGAAATAAAGGACAAAGGGAAAAATTCTAAATCCAATTACTGAGATCATGTTTCTGGCTTGTGTATTGGCCTAAATTTGAGCAATGTCATAATCTCAAAACAAAAGTGTATAGTTGGAATGACTGGATGTAAAGCTACATATGAAACTCCTTGTATTTTTACTTAGATGCATTTTTTTTAAAAACATTGTCGGCAGGTAACAAAACAGAAAGCTGCCTCCCTGGCCTTATGCATACAGCCTGCAGTTGCCAATTTTTAATCCCTATTCAAAAGCATGTTAGCTTCATTGGGAAGAAAATCATCCAGAGGTTAATAGAGGGCAACATAATTTGCCGTATATTATTTTAGTGAACATTTAACAGACATGGGAAGGTGTGATAGATAGTAAACTGGAATTGTTAAATCACATGGAATTTGTGTACCTCATCTTTTGTTGAATAGAACAGGTTGGCAAACCTGAAAAAAACCAAACAGTATTTTAATATGGATTCTTGATTCTGGAATATAGTTAATAATGATGAAAGGTTTTCCAGTATTTAACAAATTCAAAATAGGAATCCCATATAAGTTAAGTTATACAGCTACTTAAAGGTGCATTATATGCATTTTACCTGAATAGTACATCCAGAAATAATGTAGCTTAAAAATAGATTTTCTCAATGTTGTTAAGGATTAATGGTTTTTATTTGTATATTTCGTGACTAAAGCAGACATCTTCATTTTTACTGCCTTAGAAATATTCAGACTAAAAATACTGTAGCCATGACATTAAGAACAAAACCTGGTCCCAAAAATTGTTCTTTTATCTGTATGTTAATGGGAGTTTAAATTTTCTTATAAAGAAAAAAACAGGAATCCTCCCTTGCTCATTTCTATTAGAGCATTTTATTTAGGGCACCAGACTTTTAGCAACTCTTTTATTTCCATAAGAGAATAGAGGTCTACCCTCAGTTGAATTGCTTATTAAAGCAGATGTGTATCACTTTAACTGGTAACATAGAGTAACTAGTGTCTAGTACTCATTACAGAAGCAAGCTCATTGTTGCTCAAATTTAATAAAGTTTCAATTGAGAAACAGTATTGATGAGGAATATCAGAAAGATAAAAAGATCCATGATTTCTTTGAAATAAAATTCTACCTCTGGATCAAGCAAGAAAAGCCTCAGAAAGCCAGGTACTCTAGAGCAGGTGTAGTGGTAAAGATACATGATTATTGATAAATGAGAATTTGATACTTCCATTTTATCTTCAGCTTTCTAATTCTATTTCCTTATTCAGTTTTTTTGTGGATTTTCTTCCGTTCAATTTAATAGGAGAGCCCCTTTCGAGTAGAAAAATAAAATACTACTGTTGTGGAGTTAACATCCCTAGACATATGGAAATTATCCTTTCATTATCTTGCAAGATGAATCATCACACTTTGGTGATATGGTTAACTTGTCTAAAAAAGTGAAATTTGGTGTAATGCCCAAGTCCCTGTGAACCTAACCCACAGATCCCTATCCATACTTAACTTGTCAAGGAAGGATTAATAATGTTCATCTCTTAATATCTCTGGCCAGTGAGTTCACTGTGACAAAATAATGGCGACATGAATTGAAGGTCTTGCATATAATGAAGGCTGGTAACATCAATCTAAGCTATGAAACTTTTCCTTTTAAAAATGCTCTGAGTATGAATGGATGTTTATATTCATAAATAGAAGTTAGTAAAAAAAAATCTGTTTGCAGCTAGTTTATCTAATCTTGTGTAGATTTACATTGAACACAAAAATACAGTGTTTAAGTAAGTAAACATTTCTGAGTGGTAGAGTTCACATAGAATCAATAACATAGTGGGCCTCCCCGGTGGCCCAGCGGTTGAGCGCTGGGTTGCGAGGCTGCCCGCAGCCTCTGCAGCACCGGTCTGCCTGCTCTGCTCCCTGCTCTGGCTCTGGTGAATTCTCTCACCCTCCCGCGCTTCTGACTGTGCCTGGTGCTTGTATAAATAAAAGAATAAATCTTAAAAAAAAGAATCAATAACATAGATTTGCCAGAGTCTGTTTTCTTGCCATAGTGTGTGTGTATGTTTTCTGTCTCCTCAATTAACTACCATGGAGGAAAGAAAAACCTGCGGCCCACCATTTCAGTATCTCTGAAAAACTGCTTTCATGTATTGGTTTTGTGCAGTGAGGAAAAGTGAATCACCTTTCCTCAGGGACAACTTAGGTATGATGCCAAGGGTCCTCAATACTCTTAAAGGGCCTCCCAAAAGTTTACATTTCTTTTAGTATCAGAAGCAGGAAAAAAGAAACCTTTTAGGTCAAAGAAAAAAATTTTTATTTATATTAATATATTCATCTTTATACCAACACAGTTACAAAACGTATCTTTAGTATTTGTTTATGAAGGAAGGGGCCCGCGAAAGTCATAATGCAGACTTACCTGCCCCTCAAGAGGTTTCTTGCAAAGGGAACACTAAATGTTTTAGATAATTCATGTTTTGTCTCCTAAAAATTCACAAAGGCTCATAGAAGTCCTGCAATTAAAAAAAAAATCAAATATCAAAAACCAACAACTCAACAAGAAGGATAAAATTTCTGAGGGAGATATAAAAGCAGAATTTTTTTTTAGTTTATAAATAAACAACATGAAAAAAATCCAACAACAACTATATAATTTTATTTACTCTATAGTTCTCCAGGTTTATTTCATCCTAGATGTTTTTTTCTTCCATATAATAACTATTGGTTTCTCTCAGAACTTGTAATCCATGGAAGAATGTTGGAAATATTTAACACTCTATTACATGAAAATGCAACATTGACCAAGAAAGTCTATAGTTGAAATCCCTTAACCACCTAATTTTAGCAAACTACACAGAAGCCTAAAGAATTATCCTTTGTTCTATGCAAATAGGATTAAAATGCATACCTGGTGCTCTTGGAGCAGCTTGCTAGCAACACAGCCTTACCTATCCACTTGGCAAGAGAATTTTATTGTTGCACAAATTTCAGATTTATGCTACACAGTTCACTGAGACCCATTTCAATTCTGTTTTTTTGATAGGTTTGCAGCAGCATGAGGTTGAAAATAATTCCCAAATGGCAAGGAAGGATGAAAAGCTGCTTTCCTGAATCCCAGAACATGTTATTCCTTAACCTATCAGACCTTATTAAGAGTGACTTAAAATCTGTCAGCTCTCAAAGGTTTCTTCAGTAACAGATTTCTTGGTTCCATCTCAGTTCCTCAGTTCCTGTGCATAACCACAGCCTATTCAATTTAGCAGTGCTCGGCTGCATGAATGCTGAAATTAAAATGTGCTTTCAAAATTCAATCCATAGCAAAACTGACCTAACTCAAAAGCATCTCCACAGTCAGATTTAATAAAAAGATATGAGTTTGAAGCAGAAGGTAGAAGAAGGATAAAATTCTCTGAGGGATAAAATAAAAGTAGAAAGTGGTTTTTTTTTTTTTTTTTAAAGTTTATGCTGACTAATGTCCTTTTTTTAAAAACCAGTTTTCTTTTTACAGAAAGAGTCAAAGATCTGAAGTCCTTTCTTTTCATCTTTTATAAGGTTTGCACATTAAGAAGATGATCTCTATTATTCTTCTGGAAGCAGAAACTTTTGACTGCCCATAGTGCTTTAAAATACATACACTTCTTACCTGGGAGGAACTCATAAGCCTTTTACTTAAATGGAAATAGTAAAATCTAAATGAGTATATATTTTTCTGTTTCAGAAACAAAATTTCTTTTAAGGAAAATACCTTGCTCATTTAACTATATACCTGACTTCTAAAAGATAATTGATGTAATTCCCTGAACACATAGTATTTAGCAAAACAAACAGAAGCAGCAAAAACACCATTTAGCCAGCCCCTTCTTGGTACATCTTTTATCACAGCCAGTGCACATTATTGAAAAGATTTGTTCATGAGTCTATTTCCCTTTCTTAAATGAGAAGAGTCCTTGAAGACAGCGAACTTGTGATATTTGCCTTGGACTCTCAAATACCTACCACAGTGGCCAGTATATATTAGGAGTTTAGTGCAGTTTGTGGAATTAAGACTTAAATATTTAGGACCTTTCCTGGTGGCACAGGCGGTTGACCGCAGCGCTGTGAAGCTGTCCGCAGCCTCAGCAGCGCTGGTTCGATCCTGGCCAGGCGCCAAGAATCCCAGTAGATCTCTCCTGTCTCGCCTGCTGCTCCCTTCAGCAGTGTATTTCAATCAGTCTGCCTGTTCTGCTCCCCACTCTGTCTCTGGCTAATCCTCTTACCCTCCCGCGCATCTGGCCTGTACCCCGGTTCTTGTATGCATGAACAAATAAATCTTAAAGAAAAAATTACTTGGGCCTCCCCTGGTGGCACAGCTGTTGAGCGCTGGGCTGAGAAGCTGCCCGCAGCCTCTGCAGCGCTGGTTCGATACCCGGCCACCTGCGAGGGTCCCACATGGTGCACAGACCTCTCCTGCCGCCCACTGCTCCCCACAGCAGTGTATTTCATCAGTCTGCCTGTTCTGTTCCTCGCTCTGGCTCTGGTGAATTCTCTCACCCTCCCATGCTTCTGACTGTACCCAGTGCTAGTATAAATAAATAAATAAATCTTTAAAAAAAAAAAAAGACTTAAATATTTAGTGACTTTGGATGTATAATCTACTGGAAATTTTCCATGTGGCCATTTCTGTTAGTTATACTGCCATTATTCATCCTGAATACTGAAACTGTGCAAATAAATGGGGAAATCTTCCTAGAAGTAGTATTTAAAGAGGTTCTCTGTTCTTGGGTGTGTGTGTGTGTGTGTGTGTGTGTGTGTATGTGCCTGAGGAGGGATGAGAGAGAAGTGGGGAGAGATTCCCCTTTACTGGCAGTAGGAATGAAATTTTGGTAATATTGCTGGCACAGTTTTTTGTTTTTTTTTTTACTATTAAAGCCTTACCTAAGCTCCTTATTTTTAACTCAATTGAGATGTCTATAACTTTTTCCCCAGTGGCTATGAAATGCTAATAAAACTAGTAACAAAGGAAAATCAATCCTTTTCAAAAACAAATCACTTTGACAATCTCTTACAACTAACTGGAGTAATTGGGAGGATCATTAGTAAGTATATCAATCAGCCAATGCATATTTGATGAGCACTTCCTAGATCCTCTACCAAAAGTTGGGTGTTTGCTGAAGACAGCATGAGGGAAATATAACTGGCATTTGGCCACTGAATTTGAAGGCCTCATGCACTATTGGGAGGTGATACTATAAGTCCAAAGTACCTAACAGAAAAGGGGAATAGAGCAAGGACTTTACATTATGCTTTGACATGTCAGTGCTACTTTGAGAAAAGCACTGAGATGGCTTCTGCCAAAAATGAATAGTAGCCTATTTCTTGGTTTATAAACTGGTAAAAATCAATTGGTTATCAGAATTTTCTCAATTTTATATTTTTATCCTACATACCTTATTTAAACCATTCGTGTTAACTACCACTGATATATCAATAAGATGGCAGAAATAGATAAGTCTGTAGCAAATACAGGCTGGCTGAGAAATAAAGATTCTAAAACGGCTGAGCACTTAATTTTACAGCTCCTTATTTTTTAAGGAAATATACTTCTGGTTGAAATATTATATTTTACATAGAAGCAGTCATATTTTCTTCCAATAAAATGATTCCTAGTTTTTAGGATGAGAATATCAATGCTTTATGGTGTTCCTACCAGGTGACCATCATATTCAGGTACTTTTCTATTAAAACAAGTTGGAAACCAACAAAATGTTAAATGGGATGAGCAGATGTTAAATGGGATGAGCAAGCAACTTTATTAAATTTTTGTCTATGTATATCCTGACATAGACAAAGAGGCTAAAGGGTTGCACATGCTGCAAAGAAATAGGCAGGTAATAAGGTTCATCAATGAGAGCAACATAGTCTGAAGCTGTTTTCTTGAAGCATGTGGTATTTGAAAAAGCCTGCAAGTATACGTCAAAACTGGAAAAAATGCTTCAGAAATGCAAAGTGACCCAATGGTTATTTTTATTTTAATAACCTTGGTGTTTTTTTTTTTTCAAATTGATATGGTCATATGTACACTTAAAAAATTTTTTTTTAACTATCAAAACATAGAAAGAGGAAAATAACCCTATTACTTGAGTTCACAACTACTAATATTTGGGGGTACTTTTTTTCCTGTGTACTTTTTAAAAGTTGTAAACAAGAGTCTACATAATTTTGTATCCTGATTTTTAAAATTATGGTGGAAACTTAAGCTTTTTCCCCCAGGTTATTTAAAAGCCTGTGGATGTGGTATCTGTAATGGCTCTCTCATACACCATTGTAATACACCTTATCAACCTATCAATCATTTCCTTTATTACTATTCATTTAGGTTAAAGTCACTAATTTTTTATTATAATAAATTAGTGGTGAATAGGGTAGCTGAATTTTTCATTTCCCTCTCTGTCCATTTCCTGCTCTTTGTGATACCTAGATCTTGCTCTGTCCTTCACAGTTAACATATGGCTCCAGGAGGAATGACCAACCTTTAGACCACTCTGCTGGTCATGGAAATTGACTCAGGAAGAGCAGACAACCACTTAAGAAGACAAGATGTTTCCTTGACACTTGTCATTCAGACACTTCCTTTTCAGAGGTAGAGCTACTATATGTAGCAACAGAATGTCTTCCAACATATCAGATAAACATAGCCACAGGACAAAATTTTGGTTGGCATCATTAAACAGCACAGTGAATATGACTGAGTAAAAAAAAAAAAAAAAAAAAAGAGGGAGGCTGATCCATTCAGGGAATAGAAAGGGAGAAAGGGGAACTTTCTAAAGTCAGGACAGAATTTATACCCAGAGAAAAAGCCAGTGAAACAAGAACAGGTAATAAGAGTAAATGCACTGAAATTCAGGCTCCATACATTTCATTGTTTATTTTATTCACACATTCTAAGTCCTGTGATGAAATGGCTATCCTGTAGGTTAGAAGGATGCTGAATTACCAAAAGTTAACAACTAAAAACCTAAACAAAGACCCTATTACTAAAGTTTGTTGAGTGTTTGTTCTTTGTACAGTATCAGTTCATAAAGTTTAAACTCAAGGACTAAGACAGAAAAAAAGGTAATTACTGAAAAACTTGAAACCGAGGGAAAGTGTCTACTAGCTACCAGAAGAAACTGTTTTTAATCTACATAAAAATCCTCTGATGCAAGCCTTGAAGAGAAGGTATACTTGAGGCAAAAATGTATCTCTCACTAATGCATTAAGGATTATTGTTCCTACAGCAGGGGAGGAGGAAGAAGAGGGATCAAAACAGGGGAGGAAAGAACACAAGAAACTATGGTGACATTTCACAGGTGACTTGGTGGTGGAAATTTTATGGGGACTATATCAAACATTGTACAAGAATGAACAATGATGTAATATATATATACATATATATATACATTTTAAAATATATTTAAAAAACAAGGACCTTTGTCTCACTAGAAACCAAGCAAAAAAGTAGGAAATAAGCAGAAAGATCCGAGATACAAACCAAATGGCACCAGTGTATGTCTAGAAAAGTGCCTCCCACCAGAACCTATAGCACCTTAATCTCAAATTCCAACAAGGTTAATTTCCTTCCAAACAACAAAATGGGGGTTAATCCAGAGAGGTCCTCTGAAAGTCACCCCACAAACTGGTACATATGAAAGCAGAAGCAAAAACTGAAAACAAACAGAAGAGCAGTTAGTGTAAAAACTGAAAACCGTAAGCACTCTCTACATAGCCTGAGCAGAGAGGTGCCATGGTCTGGCCCTCCACAGATCAGTTCTTCACGAAGCTACCACACTGATCTTTCAGAAATTGCAATGTGATCATGATCACATGCTCTGAACTCTTACAACCTTTCAGTGACATTCCAAGGCTTATAAAATAAAAGCTATATTTTAAATGACTCACAGGTCCTGCAGGTTGTCGGCTCCCTGCCTGTCCAGCTCTCACACGGCTCTCATCTCTGGGCACATTTCTCTCTACCTGGAACTGTCTCACTGCTGCCTCTCCTGGGCAACCTGAAAGGTCACCTCCTTGGAAAACTTGACCTAATCCGGGAGTCTAGATTAGTTTTTCCCTGTGAACTCTTAGCAACTTTGCACTTGAGAATCGATCATAATTGCACTTAATTATTAATCTGGCTGTTTCCTCCAGGGTTCTGAGCTTTGGGAGAACAAGCACCATGTCTAGAACAAATACTGAATAATTATTTACTACGGGAAAAAAAGATGTCACTGGACATGCATGCTTCATCCTTCTGGGATACAGTAGTTCAATTTTACTAAAAGATCTTTGGGGGGAGGGTAACGTATTTTCTTTATTAAAGCAAAACAAAAAGATGCATTACGGAGTAGAATGCCAAATTCATATGTATTTTAAAGCGAAAACACGACTTCCAGGATGCTTTAGGCGACGCCCCCAGACTTTTCTGGAGGCATTGTGCTTAAAATAATACAGAAATACGGTGCGGTAAAAGATCCACTTCCCAAGGGATCTAGATAATTAAGGATTGTCTTCATTTTACTAGATGAGAATGTATATGAAAAGATTTTGCAAACTAGAAGAACTCCTGCAACTATAACTTATTATTACTGAGAAAAATATGTGTCCCAAAGAAGGGGGATACTTTCGGATCAAATTACACCGCCAGTTACAGATGAAGCAGGCGCCAGACCCAGGTCTCCCGAGGCCCGTCCAGCCCACTGCTTTTCATTAGTGCACAGCATCTGCCACCTGGTCCCTGCTGCAAAGGGTCGCCTGGCTCTCTCCCTCCTTCGCTCCTAACCTTAATTGGGGCTGATGCCTCAAGCCAGGCTCAAACACCCTTCAAGTTCTGATCGACCAGAATCGAGAGGCGAGCAGACAAACCAAGCCCAGCACTTCCCGGCGTCGGGATCCAGAGGCTTTCTGCTTTCCCCAAAGGATGGGGCAGTTCCTCCCAAAGGCTGCAAACCCTGCCAGCTCCGCACGGGCTTCAGCGCGAGGCTCGCCCCCTAACGGCCCAAACGCAGAGTGCAGCGCGCTCCAGGGAACCCGTCAATCTCTTTTTCTGAGGGGGCTCGCGGGGCCACCAGGCCAAGAAGTGCGGCAGTATTTACGGGTTCCGGGCAGCGGGAGGGCTCAGAAGTAACCAAGGAAAAAAGAACATACTACAGTTGCTGACGCGGCTGCACGGCTTCGCGGTCCAGCTGCGTGGCCTATTGCTGCGAGCAGAGGTGGTGGCTACAGCTGCCCCTTAGGAAACAGGGGACCCCGAGGGCTGGACGCCGACGAGGGCTGGAGGTCCCCGCCAGCACCCTTGGGAGGCAGCCCGCACAGCCTGCTCCGTGCGCCGGCCGGGACCCGGCCAAAGGGCCGGGGAACTCAAGTGGGGCTCGCGCACGCCGAGCCGGGGTGCGGAGGGCGGCGACAGGCTCCCGCGCGCAGCCCGCGCCCCGCGCCCCCCGCGCCGGGGCCGGCGCGCTTCAGCCCGCGGAGGCCGCCGCCCCGCCGCCTCGGGTCGCGCGCCGCGCGCTCTCGCGGTGGGCGTGGGAGGCAGGGGCGCTACGAGCTGGCGGCGAGTGCGCGCGCGCTCCCCCGCGCGCCCTCCCTCGCAGGCCGGCCCGGCTCGGCCCCGGCGCGCGTCACGAGGGGCGGGCGCGCGGGAGGGTGGGGAGCAGGGGGTGGGGCCGCCCGACCGGAGGGGCCCGAGCGGCGGCTGCGGAGCTCCAGCGCCCGAGCCGGGTGAGGGCTGCTGGGGTCCCGGCGGCGACGGTGGCTCCAGAGGCTGCGGGAGAAGATGGTGGCGCTGGAGGCTGGAGCGGCCGGAGCGGAGCTTTCTTCCCAGACTGGGCACCGACGCTGTCATTAGCGCCGCCTGCTCCCGCGGGCCCGCGGACCCAGCTGTCAGGCAAGGTACCGCCAACGGGGACGAGTGGGTGAAGGGGGTGCCGGGCTTGGATGCTGCCGGGACGGAGCCCGGGTCCTCACCGCAGGGCGACCGCGGGCTCGAGCCGGGCAGCGCGGAACAATAGTGGGGATGAGCGGGGACAGCCGGCGGCATCCAGGGGGCAAAGCCTTTGGCCATCGAGCCGACGGGGCGGGGATAGGGGGCGTCGAGGGTGGGGACGCCGGGTGTCCGGTGAGCGCTGGGATGCCAGGGCTTTGGGAGTAGCGGGCGGGCCTGACAGTCATGGCTGTGTGTGTGTGTGTGTGTGTGTGTGTGTGTGTGTGTGTGTGTGTGTGTGTGTGTGTGTAAAAGGTACAGGCAAGGGGATGGGGGTGGCGCGGACCGAAAGTGTTAGGGGATGACATTTCCAGGAATCCCCGCTAGGATCCCCTCATCTCTCTGACTCTCCTGGAGAAAGAGTGGTGGCGGCGATGATGAGGTGGGCAGGGTGCACTTGCTGTGCGAGTGTGCAGGGAGGCAGCTGGGTAGAGGCGTATTTGTAAAATCCCATGTGTGTGAGTGTGTATGTGTGTGTACTCTGCGATTGCATTCACACTTCCCAAACTGTGCCCCAAGCCCAGAGAGATGCTGATGCCCTAACTTGCTGTCACAGACCAAGACTGTGGGACAGTGCTTGTTATTTTGACCCTGTAACTCTGAGTGCGGTGGCTGTTCTGCATGTGGATGGGTGGGTGCAGGCGTTCTCGCTTCCCTTTTCTCTGGCCTCTTGACTGGGGATATGGAAATGTGCATGTGGCTTTGGGCGTGTGCCAGAGAAATAAGATAATGGTTACCTCTTCTGGGCTTGCTGGTGTCCCTGATTTTCAAGGGAGTTTCCATCCTGTGACACTTCTTTCCAAGCCCCTGTTCCCTCAATCGGGGTCTCAGTCGTCCTGACTCTGCAGTTTCTATTGTTTATCTCTTATCTGACCTAAAGCTTTAATGACCACATTCCTCTCTCCCATCAACTTTGAGTGTCAACTAAACCTTCTTCTTCCATATTTCAACATTGGAAACCTTATGGCTGAAGAAAGCATCGTCTTTCTTTTGGTTCTTATAGAATGGTCTTGTAGAATCAACTCTGCAAGTGTGTATAAAGAGATGGGGGGAGGGAGGGAGAATTTGAAAAGGAAAAAGATCCTACTGAGAAATATTTGGTACCCTAATGGATAGTGTCACACAGGCAGGGCGTTTTCCTTCAGCAAAGAGATACTTTATTTCAACTGCTGCCTGTGACATCCATTCTACCAGGTTCCACAATGGCTAGGTGGTGCCATGTATCCTTTGGGAACTGAAATCCCCCAAATCCCATGGTGATGGGGTCCCAGGGTTAGTAAAGTCTGCTTTCCTAGCTGATATAGCCTGCTACTAGGGAATTTGGAAAATGTCAGCCTGGCAATAAGTCACTCGGTGGGAGCCAGGACACAGAATTGCATCCAGAGTCTGTAGCCCTTTAATTGTCTCTGCGTGATAAAGATAGGCTTGTGTGGGGTTGGGGAGAGAGATGGGAAGGGAGACAGCATATTCATATGTGTCCACTGCAGTTTGACTCCCTAGTGCTTGTATTTCTCCCTCTTTATTCATAGGAATGAATGCACCTTTACACTTAATATCTTGATACTTTTTAATAAAAATGTTGTATGACTAGATTAACCTTCTTAGAACATGTTTTAATCATAACATCTTAAACTCTGCTGCATTGCTGTCAGAATCCAAACTGGCTGCCCAGGTCTTCTTTGAAAAGCGTGTAGCCGTCATGGCTACACAAGTAAATATACAGCACGTTGGCATCAGGGATTTTCTTTGAAAAAAAATTTTATATGAGTTTGTTTTAGCAAAGGTTGCATGATACCATTGTTGAATTGGAAATAATAAAGCTAGATTTATCCACATATGTCCCCCCCTCCATTTATCTTCTCTTAATTAACGATGACATACAGACCCGGTGCTCTTAAATCTGTGAACATTAAACTAAATTTCCGCATGTCCTTCAATTCAAGCCTTCTAAAAGTTTAATGTGAGGTTGTTGGATGTCATCCAAGATTTAAGGATAGATTTAGAAAAATGAATTTTGAATCTTAGTTCTTTACTCTCTTATTCTGCCAATTTCTTTCTGAGAAAAGTACTTACGGAATTTAAAAGGCATTCTAAGAGGTTTTGGCTTAAAAAAAAGTCTTTGTGTATGCAAGTAAAATCCAGAGATATACATGTCTTATACAAAAGGTGAAGGATATTAGAATTTACCAAGGTAAATAAACTGTTTGGGAAAAAAATAATGCAACAATGTAATTGACCACTTCAGGAACTAGTGATTTCCATTCTAATGTAAATTGGATAATTTTTAAAGGATGCCTGGCTTCCTAATGATTGGACTAGTAAGGTTAATGATACAGTTAAATCCTGTCATTCAGTCTGGTAAACAGTTGTACCTTTTGCTGTAGCCTACAGCAAGCCATTTGTTTTGCATGGATGTGTTTTCTTCACTTAAGGTAGCATTAATCCTTTTCCTTTCCATTATTGGATCTCTTAAAGAAGTTTGTTTTTCAAAAGACTTGGGAGTAAAAGACTTAAATATTGAACTGTAGGGCCAAAAGGAATAAACCTTTGATACCTTGGAGAGGTGGAATTAGTGTCCTTCAAGGAAAAATCAATTGTTGCTAATTTGTTATTATGATTATTGAGAAAATTTTAAGAACTAAAATCCAAAGTTAACCCTTTGGGTTACAATCGTTACAAATATTTGTTAATGTCCTACTACATACATCTCAGGCAGTGCATATACTTTTGGGTAGGGTTTGGGAAATTTTGGAAGGACTAGAGATTTGAAGAATAAGAAAACTTAGATCCTGACTGGAGGAAATTCATGGCCTGAAGGAGAGACAGGGTGTGCATGTAATTATGAAAGTGTTAAAAAAAATAGTTAAGTGCTGAAAAAAGCTTTATTCCTGCAGAGCTGAGGGAGTTAAAAGATACAATAATAACTTTAAATGGAAGAAAAGGGGAAAGGACATGGAGGAGATTCCATTTGAGCTGGGGTTTATACAGGTGGCATTTGAGTTAACAGGGAAGCAAGAACATACTTGGGGGAGGAATAGTATAGCACAGACCAGGCGGTGGGAAGGTGTCTGCCTGCACAGGGGCTAAAGAATGGTGTGCTTTGGCTGGTGCACAGGGAATACTGAGAGAGGTAATGAGAGAGATATGGCAAGAAAGAGATTCTTCCAAGGCTGTGGAGCAACTTGTATGCCAAAGTAAGGAGTGCGGATTTTATTCAGTAAGTACCAGGAAGCTATGGAAGATTTCTGAGGAGGAGGATTGACAGGATCAGAACTGTACTTTATGGTTATAATCTTCTACCATTGTGTTGGATATAATGAGAAAAGACTGAGAGCAGGCACACCAGATAGACTCTACTGTCAAATAAGGGGTAAGAAGAAATGAGGCAGCAGCGGGAGTGAAGAAGTGGGGACGGACTCAGGAGACAGGGAAGTCAAAGGTCATATTCACACAGCTGAGAGATCAAGAGGTTCATTGTCAGAAGGTTCAGAGATGGACAAGAAAGAGGAGGAAGATTTTTGTTCTGGGCATAGCAAATTTCTTCAAGGGACAGGACTACAATAAGGGGGTAGGTCTTCAGAGACAGGTTAGAGCTATGAAGAGAGATGTATACATTTTTGTAGGTGATATACTTAGGAGCAATTTTGACCTCTCAGAAACACCCAGTAAGAAAATGGGTATGGGTAGGATCCTTGGGAGATATCTATATGTTGGAGGGGAAAAAGAAAGGTGAAGAATTGAAGGGGCAGTTGTAAAAAAATGGTGGCAGTAGAATGGTGTCAAGACTCTGGGAAAGGCAAGAGGATCTGCTGTTATTCATACAGCAAACCCCTGGGGAGTGGGTGCAATAAAGGAAAAGCCATTGAATCTGACTCCTGGCTTTCCTTGTGTGTCTTTCATGTAGGCAGAAGTGGCAGCCAGCATGCGAGGGGTTGAAGAGCAGGGGATGATGCTTAGGGAAAGCAGTGAACACAGACTTCCATTTTGAGAAGGTAGGTGGTGAAGAGTTTAATGTATCAAAGAAATGGCATATTAGGAGAAAATAATGCTTTTAATAGGAAGATTGACCTTACTTTATTATCAGAGGAGAAGAATCCATAAAAGGGAAAACAGATTGAAAATGTAAGAGAGAGGCAAAACTGAGTGAAAGGAACCTTCAAGAAGATGGGAGCATAGTAGATAAAAGCAGGGGAAGGACTATTTTGAGATGGAAGCATGGGGATTTTTGAATTTGGAAAAAAAGAAATTTGGCCAATCTTATAAGTATTGTAAAGTCAAGTAAGAGCTGGGTGGGTTGAAGCATAACAAAAACTTGGAGTATGCACTGTGAAAATGTAGCTGGTGAGTCAACTAGGGGTGAATAAAAGATTATCACCCGACTATGACGGCCTCCTGCATTTGGAGAGTATGAATGTGTAGTGGAACCAATTAGCCCTTTATAATTAGAGTTTGACAATGGTTCATGTAATTTTGTAAAAGCATTTAATATTGTCAAATACAACGGTTCCTGCTTCCCTTAAACTCAGTGAGAAGAGAAAAACATTTACCTTTACAACTAACTGAATAAGAGACTCCACCTGAGGCATTTCCTGTGACTGTTCTCTCTCAGGGATCACTGACTTAAATAAATAAAGCTTGTAGTAAAATAGTGGGAAAAAAGCATAAGTATGTTCAAAAAGATGAGCTTTCTCTACCTATAATACAGGGTATGGCTTTACAGTGAAATGTAGTCTTTTTTTTTTTTTTTTTCAGAAGAAAAATGAAATACAGCACTTCACCTAACACTATACCCATCATAAGTGCTCAATAAATATTTGTCACATGTAATGTGAATACATTTATTTACTTGAGTAAGTTAGGAATAGTGTCTAAGATCTAAAATTTTAGGATTTCTTATTACCCATGGACACTGAGTGAGTTTCATTCTGTGGTCTCTACAAGTTTATGATAGGATTGAAACCATTTTATTTATCTATACCTGCTATTAGGGGCAGACTGAAGGGCACCCCAAGACCCCCAAACTTGAACACTCTAAAAGGATTCTGCCATCTACTGCATAAAGACAAACATACTCTTACTGCATCTGACATTCAATAGAAAAAAACTTTAATAAAATTAGCTGGCAATAGAGAGAAGAGAGGAGAAAGAATAAAATTCCCAATGAAACACCCAAAGTTACCCATATACTTATGGGTAAATACCCAGCCAAATAGGGTTGGTCCAAAGCAGAGCCACTGAGGCCTGAAAGCTTGCCACAAGTCTAAGTCACCTTCTGGCAGGGAACCATAGAGAGGGGCAGAAGGGATCAGGCTAGTCTGGAAGGAAAAGAGCAAAATCAGGGCACAAATCAGAATAAAGACTGCCATTGTCAGCCTTTCCATGGGTCTCTCACCCATGTCCCTTTCAAGTATCTCCTTCCATGTCCCCCAAGTCCTTAGTATAAGGCCAAGGCAAGAAGTAAACATGGCTTCTTCTTCACACACCTCTGCGCCACGTGCCTTCTCCAGCTCTTCTCCTCCAAGACTTTTCTAGTCCTCCCACTGCCCAGCTCTACCCTTCATTGAGTAGGGCAGGGAAAATGGAATGTTTCCTTTCTAGAGTACACTGTCACACTGCTACTTACTTTAAAGCTTTACCAGAAAACTTTTTTTCACAAAATAATTGTGTACCCTTGAAATCCTTGTGTTCTTTCATGATTCCATATAAGTTTATGGAAATTCAACTGTGATGAATGATGAATGATGATTTTGAGGCTCTAATGATGAAATCATTTATTCACTTCCTCAGCAAATATTCATCCTCTGGGGCAGACACCATGCTAGGTGCAAGTGATATAGCAGGGAGGAAAATAGTTAAGGAATACAGCAGGGAGGAAAATAGTTGCCTACTGTCACCAACCTTTTAGTAGGAGGGGATTAAAAAAATAGCAAACATATAACATGTCGGGTGGTAGTAAGTGCTAGGGAGAATAACATAATCAAAGGCAACTGGGTGTGATGATGTAGAGGGTACTGTTAATTTATATCGACTGGCCAGGGAAGGCTTAAGCAGAGAAAGATTAAAAGAGATAAAAGAGTGAGCCATGTAGCTTTTTGGGGGGGAGGGACACTAGGCAGAGAGAACATCAGTAGCAAAGGACCTGAGGTGGGAACATGCATGGCAGTATAAAGGAAAAACAGGGAAGCCTCATTGGATTCCCTGATTCACCTGCTGATGTCTTATGGCACCTGCTAGATGGGCTGTCATGTGGGAACCCAGCAATGTGATGTTTAGTCTTTCTGTATTGAATCAACTGCCCAGAATAAGTGTTATCACATACTGTGTTTGGATTGACCTGTTTGTGAACTGTCCTGGGTTTATAAAAAGAAGCTGTCCTCAAATGTATTTACATTAGAAAATTTGAAGCGTGGTTCTCTTGGGGAGTGATGAAGGACTGGTCAGCTGGAAATCATGTGTCTCTCAAATGAACAGCACTCTCTGCCCTTGGAGCCTTCTTCAGTGATAGGGTTTCTTCTTCCATGTTTCCCGTGCATTCTCAAGTGTAAGGCTGTGCAGGTCAGAGCTGTTTGTTCACCTGGGTATACCCTACAAACTTACAGAAAAACTCTTGGCATTAGTAAGGTATCATCAAATACTTATTGAAATAAATAGACAAAACTTTTCAAAAGAGCTAAGTAATTCCAGTGTAAATCTTTTTTGATCAAAAAAAGGTAAACTCATACCATTGGCAGCCACATGGATGGAGCTGGAAGGGATTATACTCAGTGGAAAAAGCCAGAAAGAAAAAGAAAACTATCGGATGGTTTCACTTATATGAGGAATGTAGGGGAACCAAATTAAGGATCAGGAAAAAAATTATAATAAATTAAAAAACAAAATTAACAGGCAACTATAAATCAGAGACATTCTGCAGGAGAGGGGGAGGGAAAGGGATCAAAACAGGGGAGGGAAGAACACAACAGACTACGGTGATGGTGCACAGGTGAATTGGTGGTGGGGATTCTATGGGGACTACACCTGAGAGGAGAAAGCATACATTGTACAAAAAGGAAGAATGATGTAATATATATATATAATTTAAAAAATTTGAAAAGAAGAGGGGGAGGAAGCCTTTTGGTAAAGCTTTGCCCCTTACCAAAGGGTCAAGCCCCTTACCTTCATTTCTGCAGACATCTGTTTTTCAGAGAGGACATAGAAGTACCTCAAGTAGTTTATGTGTGAAGAGCCTGAGACAAGGACTTGGGTCCAGCTTGTGAAAGAGAGGAGAAAATGAGACAGGGCTGGAGAGAAAGCTGATAAGTAGTGGGTTAATAAGCACATTACCTTTGTGGACAGTGGTGGATTGATTGTGCTGATATCATGAAGAATGTACCTTATGATTGTCCACTGAGCAGAGGGGAAACTGGAGTGTATACCCAACATTTAATGCTGGGGGCATTAAATCCCCTGCATCTTCAGGGCTGCTAATATTAGCCTGAGTAAGGTACCAAACAAAGCACTTGGGTAGATAAACTGAGAGGCAGAGTGGACTGGAGGTGGGGAGCTGTCACTGTGTATGGTAAGAGGCCACCAGAGCTTTAGGGGAACTCAGAAGTAGTTTGAGGGGACATGAGACAGGGCATCAACAGCTTCTATTTCATATGGCACAGAAATATAAAGAATTTTTTAACAGGTAAGAATTGGTTTGGTAGCAATTATTGGTATTTTGATTTGAAAAACTTTCTTAATTTATAAATTTAATTGCCATAATAGAATTTCAATAGTTACCTGCAGTTTAGTTCACTCACATGTGAAAACTTGTGAAAATATGACACCCTTCATATTTTATGATATTACTTATTCAAATGTTTCATGTGCTTCTTTGACTTTACAAACTTTTTCCTCATTAGGTCTCTTTTAACATATTTATATCTAACTTGTTTGAAAATAGTACTGTTTGAATTCTACATGGTGCTGTACCATAAACTATTGCAAACCCTGTGTGTCCATTCACATAAGAACAGTTGCTTTTTTACTTTCTACCAAGGGGTGTATATTGTATAAAGACATCCATCATAAGCAACTATAAATAACTATTTACTTATATTTGCATTAAAATCTTAACCTTCATTTTTTTTGTTCATTTATCTAGCTAACTTATTTCAATCAAATGGTCCCCAGATCTCCACAAGTCTCCCTACCTAACACCGATTGCAATTATTTCAGTCTATCTTCACCAAATAGTTCTCCAGAAACCTCTGAAACATACGTTACCTTTTCATGAAATCTTCAGCTTTATCAGGAAAAATATTTTTTAAAGATTTGTTTATTTATGCATACAAGAACTGGGGTACAGTCTAGAGGTGTGGGGGGGTGAGAAGATTCATCAGAGACAGAGTGGGGAACAGATCAGGCAAATTGACTGAAATACACTGCTGAGGGGAGCAGCGGGTGAGTCAGGAGAGGTCTGCTGTACCATGTGGATATCTCCCCTGGCTCAGGGATCAAACTCGTGCTGCAGTGGCTGCAAAAGGCTTCATAGGTTGTGTCTTAACCCCTTGCGCCACCAGGGAGGCCCAGGAAAAATATTTTTGACATGGTTTCTCCCTTTAAAATCAGTTGCCATTACCTTGGGCTTCTTGCTTTTAAGCATTTAGAATAAAGTAACTGAGAGAATGCTTCATAATTCGGGAGAATTTATATTGAGTCAATATAAGACCACATTCTCTTTTCTGAAATACAATTTTTGTATATGCAAAGTGATCATGGGAGGTGTTTGTGGTATGGCGGTGGTAAAACTGTTCCTGCCACTCAGTATCCTGTCCAGTCTCCTTTTTTGATCCAAGGTGGATTAGTATGAAAAAGTATAGCAATGGTTTAATTCACAAGAGAGTTGATTTGTCAGAATTCTAAACTGTATAATCATTTATGTTTCAGACTTATTAAATTTTGTATCTCAAGATCAACTCTGTCTTTATTAACAGTTACAATTTATTTTAAAGAAGAAATATAC